TAATAGGGCCATATGGCACCGAAACAGAGAAGTTGGCTTCGTTACCTTTGGGCCTTACAAACGCAAATGCAACACTAAGCCACTAGGAGTTTAAACCAGCCTACCTACTGGAACTAAGAGATGCATAGACTCTAAATGTTGAAAACCCATTAAGTCACATAAATTTCGATAATGAGAGGCATAAATGGTTGTTTCAACCCTTCAGGCACGCACCCTTTAGCCACAAAGGGGCTTAATGTGTCATAATGATATTTCTGCTATAAATCAAATTGCATTATATAATACATGTATTTGAATTTTTATAAATATTATTTAATATTTCATTTCGATTGTCTGTTTGGTTTGTTTTTACGGCGTTTCAACGTATAGGTAATATGACACCAAAACAAGGAAGTGGGTTTAAAGGAGAGCATAAAAATCAATATAAAGCCATAGTGAATGTCGTATATCTTTATACTTCAAAAAGATTCTTGGTGGAGTTGATCGGAAACATGTCTGTTATGTCATACTTACGCATAAATATCAAATACACGTAATGAACCATATCATGCACGAGAATTCATAAGTTTGATCGTGCAAACGCTTATAAAAAATTGTCTTTTGAAGAATCGATCGCTTTTATACATAATACTCAATCACTTTAACCGTACAAATTACAAAAAGACAACAGAGGCAACGATGGTTTAGGTTATTTGCCTTTGCAATACTTTTCAAAACATTAAATCATTAAACAGATTATCAAAAATGTGTTTAAGAAAAAAAGATTAAAGCATATCTGGTGCATGATGAGTCTGTAATGAACAAAACTGTACAATTTTGTCATGGTACTTTTATATCATTGTAAGGGAAATTGGAATCTTAAGACAAAATAGAATGCTGTCAAGAAGAATAAGTTGATTATTTGATAAATAATTCTGTAACTACATGAACTAAGTTTAAATTTCTGATTTCATAACAAGTACTTAAGTTATGTATTTCTTAAAAGTTGATCAGCAGACGATTTAGCTAGGAGCTAAGTGTAAATTCACAGTTTCTTTGATAATTCGATCATTTGATTGATAAGTAGAAAATGCGACTGAACCAAGATTCGGTAAGTAGGTAATTCTTATACTTTTGAAATACGTCTGCCATTTCTATAATGATCAATAAAGAAATCACCGCTAGCTTGTAATTTGCATAAAAAATACCCGTTGATGATATTCTACACATGAGCAAGATTTATTACTCTTATTAATAAATAGTTAATACAAGTACAGAATCACCGCCTCCGTGGTCGAGTGGTTAGAGTTGATGACTTCTAATCCAGTTACCTCTCTGGCGTGGGTTCGATCCCCGGGAGATGCTTTGGTAGTTTAGCGCGGAGGAAGGTAGTCAAGTACTGGTGTAACTCTCCAGGAACGATGGTTAGGAAACTACCCGCCTATATGACTGAAATACTGTTGGAAAAAGGCGTAAAATGACACAAACAAACAAACAAACAAGTACAGAATAGTCCAACTATAGATATTTGTTCTTACACAAATATGAATCGCACGCACACACTGTAAGACTGCCACTTCTTTCACATTTAGGTATCAGACTGAAATTTGATCAAGCTCTTGAAACTACTGAAAATATGAATGAACACATAGTTAAAATCAGTTGTCAGCCAGAAAGCAAACACACTTGCAAAAGTTACTAAAGTTTGCTTCCTTATAAGCTATCATTACTAACTACTTGTGTAGTTTTTAATCTTTTTCTTCGAGTTAAGTTTTTGAAATATTCTTTGAAAAACAATAATTTTTATCTTATTTTGGTTGCATCTAGACTAAATATTATCATGTTTGTAATTTCACTGAACATTGTTTTGTATTACTTTCGAAATAAAATTAATGTTTACTTACTGTTATCAATTTCAGATTTAACACAGGAGCCCGCACAGGTTTCTTATTTTTCATTTCTCAGATCAGAGTAATAGCATGGTTGACAATCGTAACATCTATATGATGATGATCCTGAAACTAGGAATTTTATATAAGATAGAAATGTAATCAAAAATCATTTAACAGTTAATTTAGAATAAGAAAAAAAAAGAAGAATTTTTTACTTCCTTAAAACAACAAACGTCTGGAAATGCTCTTAAATGTAAAAAAATGTAATGAAATTAATAGAAATTTGATTACAACACATTTGCATATCAGACAAGATTTATAATAAAAAATGTTAGTTTTATTTTTTTCTTAAATACAATGTGGAAGAATAAGACGGGAATAAATAGCTGCCGGGTAACGGTTAGAGCCTTATTTCCACCGAAAACAATTTCTTTCGAGCTAGATATTACAGTCTGTAACGGTTATTGGTGTATATGTCCATACAACTTGTAAAAAGTAGCAGAAGCTCAATCTCAATACAAAGATGACGTGGAATAGTAAATGTTATAGCAGCAAATGAAAGAATCATGTGATTCTATTATCAATATGTTTTGGATGTGTTCAACAACACAGCACACGTTATATGGCGACGTTCCAGTTATACTGGAGCAAGACCTCGCGTGCCCCTTTGTGCATTATTTGTGTAGAAACACTGACTTTCTCTAAGCTAGATGGATAGCTTTCTCACATGAAAAATTCAAAGACTCTGGCGTGGCTTTACCCTGAAGCGATGAGAGCCAAGTGCTTTTATGTCAACGACGCTAACGACTCGGCCACGGACGTCCCTTATTCATTAGTTTGACACCTATATTAAAACAAAACAGTTGATAACTTTGTTACAATTTCAATTTAAACCACTTGCCAATTGATTTGCAAGGATTATTATGAACGTCTAACACACAACTAAAACAATCTATACACCTATCGTTGAATTGAATTGTAAATGATGCAGGCTCGGTTTGATTGAGCCTGTTCTAAAAGTTTGTGAAAATTTGAGTATGCTCCCAGCAGAGTATGCACTGTATATTGAATGGTGACGATTTACGGTACAACTCACAAACAATATTAAATAGAGCAAATCAATAGAGAGCAAAGTAAACAAATATGAATGAGTGAAAATGGTAGTCATATCAATAGAGTTTCATGCCTGCATGACAGACAATGGAAAGTGTCATGACTTTCATCCTCGAGTTAAATTAAATGTCATCATTATATATTAAACATTTATTCCTCTTATTATTTTGCAGAAATATGACATATATTTATTAAGAAATTCAGATTCTTAATTATGAGTTAATCACGTATCTAATGAATTTTTCATCTCAGTACCCAACTGGCCCCAATAACCCATAAACGTCGACATGGGGTCAGTTTAGATTCGGGTCCATATCGGTAAAACGGGCCAAAATTATTGGTTTGCTGCGGGTTTAAAATATAACAAAATTTGGGACACATTTAAATTTTTTTTTCGTGGGGTTGGGCCGGAAAACTTATCGGCATTTTTTGAAATAAAAATGTCACGAGCACTTTAACACCACAAAACAGCTCTGTCGCTAACATTGTCGATTTCGCGGATGTATAGATATTCAACAGAACCCGCTTGTTTGTTTAGGTTTGACTGCGACATTGACACAGTCATTTACCCGTCCATTCTGCACCAAATAGTATGAATTTAGTAGGCCTAAACTGAGTTGCTACCAGTGCGTTAGTTAAATCTTTGAATTCTCGTTCAATTCATTTAGAAAAAGTTCTGTAAGTTAATTTATTCGATAAAATCTACTTTGAACTTATGAAAAATCATGACATTCAAGAAGGAAATGTTCGACTGTAAAATATTCATTGCAATTTATTCAAAATGAAGCATCGCCTCCTGGTAAAAAGTAAGAATATGAAACTGTTGTATGTCCAATTCTACATCATCTTCGGATACCTATGGCCAAACCATTAACATTTAACAGCCGTGGAATTTTTGGCCGATAACCATATTTCATTGGTTGCCTCACTCATTGGTCGATATTTTACGCACCTTTTTGCTATTTATCGACGCAAATCGAATCATGTTACCAACGGCATGATTATATAATAATCAACTGTTGGTATCAGCTTTCACAGCGCTTTAAATATTTCAATGATTATTTTGACAAAAACAAACTACTGACAGATTTTATGTAAAACTATATTATACGTATGAGATTTAAACAAGAAACAGGTTATTGTACTGGGAAAATACTCAAAGATGAAACCACTTGTGTGTTGTTTAGTTGTTACACTTATCCAAAATTGTAAGTATTAATATTAAAATATTTAATATATAAAATCATATGCTTTTAAAGGCAGCTATTCCTTTAATGAAAAAACATAAAGACGTTTTTCATATTGTAATGACGTTTTTTTTATATAATATTATAAGTGTATTGAATAAACATGTAAGTTATTGAAGAGTTGTGTGTCGTATTGTTTTTATTTGTTTGAACGACTAAAGTCATTTTGAATCTGACTAAAGACATTATATCCAATTTTGTAACATTGAAAAGGTAAAACTTCTTGTAATTATTTTTGTACACATTAACCTTAGTAAATCTGCATTAAAAGTTCCAAAATTTTAATCAGTTAGTAAATACGGACTGTTTTACACAATTCTTTTGTGCTGTCGAATGCGTTGTTGAGAAGCGTGACTTGCGTATTTTAGATTACACACATATAGAAACATAGAGATATTTTAATGCTGAACAAAAAATCTCCTTCCACCCTGAAAAAAAAAACACAACAACAGCAAAAACAACAACAACAATCTGTGAAGATAGAGCTCTGAAGAAATTCTCACTTAATTACTTGCGTTGTTGGCATGAAAGTAGAAGGCAGGTGGCACATGCCAAATTTGTGAAAATATATCACACAACTTTTTGTGATATTTTTGATTCAATAATTCATTGCTAGTTTATTCCTGTTTATTTAATGTTGAAATGAAATCGAAAAAAATCATTTAAAAAGAAACGAATTGAAAAATACCTTATTTTTGGCAGATGCAGGAGCGTCAACTTTAAGATGTTACAGCTGCGAATCATGCGGTGATCCCTTTGATAAATCTAACATACTGAATGTGACTTGTTCTGGTTCTTGCCATAAATCAAACAAAAAAGGGTGTAAGTATGTTTATGGAATACTTTAATAATGATTTGTATATTGATAAAAAGGAATAAATAAATAAGTTATTTAACTAGTCAAAGTGCAAATAGCTTAGAATATGTAGACATAACATACATGCATATTGGGTATCATCACAGAGTACAATAAATTTCCAAATGAAATTTCAACTCAGTATATACCTAATCGCAAATGTGTTTTATTTTCTGCATTATTTATGGTTTTGTGTTTATATTTATCTATTTATTGTGTTTCGCATTTAAACATATTTCTACCAAAGGAAACTTAGTGACCCAAGCAGATCTAAAATTTGTAAAGTTTATTGCAATGTTCTTTTGTTGGCTCTACCTAATTAATTATTAATAAAGATGGTTTTAGTCTCGAAAGTGAATGTCGTTGACATTAGTAAAAGCACGAAAAATGTGCTTTCGGTTGTTACTTATACACATATTTTGTTTAATTCATGTAATACTTTTTAGTGCTCTCAAAAGATCATATTAAGAAATTATTTCGAATGTTGTGAAGTTGGCTGACATCGACACATTTCAAAATTAATGTACATTTATATCTTCACAGGTATTTCAAGAGGCTGTTCAAATATTACTCTAGTATCAGATTGTTCACATGATGAACAACTTGAAGTATGTGCATGTGACACCTATCTATGTAACAAGACGCAAGGAAAGCACAAATATTTGGTTGGACTTTATATCGCCAGCATCATCTGTTTTCTTTTACAAACTTTCGATAGATATCATAATTGACGCGTTTCATATTGATCATCGTTTGCTGTTAACAGGTCTTTAGATGTACATTATGACGAACGGTTATTTTAAACATTCGCCATTACCTGAGAAAAGTACTTTCAAATGTGTTTAATCTTTCACTATACAGTTATAGACAAACACTTGTACCAGTTTTTAAATGAGATAATTGTTCATGACTATCTTGGGATAAATATGGCTGATTTCCCTTGTGCAGTTTAGCTTGCTAGTAAAACTTATATTCTAAATAATAAAACAAAACAAAAACATGATATTATTTTTGAATGTGCACGTGTCTATGCATAGCTTTGCTCCCTTTCTCTTTATTATACGTATTATTTGTATTGTATTCTATTTCAAATGACAAAATGTTCATTTGTGTTACACGAGTTAAAATGATAGAGTTTGATGCTAGCCTTTCTTAAACGGTATATAGCTATCTTTATGAAACTTTGTATAGAATTTAAAAACAGTTTATAATGACTTTTCCATAGCTTTATAGTAGATTATCGAAATTGTAAAAGTAAAAATTTGATAAAAGAACGATTCTTTGATTCTACACAACTGAATTCATACTGTATGTTAACATAATAAAATGTTTCGGAGCAAAAGATTAAAATAAGATTTTAACCGTCTTACAATGATTTTGTGCATGTGCCAAAATATTTTTTTCCCATAAAGTAATTTGAATTTATTCTTTTTCAAAATTCAAACAAACTTTTTGTATACTACAGGCAGAAGAGATAAGGTTCCATCTACATATGTACATACATGGATATAAACATAAATAAAAGAACAATAAAAACAAAATATATCAACTCTGGAAAGAATATATAATTTGTACTACGTTTTACATACATTATTGTGGTGATTTGTATGAAACAAGAATTTTCAATGATTCACCTCTACCACCATTAAATCATTTAATTGTGGGATCTGATCAAAGTATGACACTTTTGTTATTGAAGATTGAATAATTATGCATGCAGGAGTATTACATCGAGAATAAAGAGATCATTTAGATTGAATAAACGTCCATATCAAAATACTAACATTAGGCGGGAGGTGAGAGATCAAGGAGAAAGCATTTTTTTTTCTTAGTGTATTTTGCTAAAATATGATAATCGAGATCATCAAAGATAGGCGGCGTTCAATGAGCGTAAACCTTGCAAAGTGATATAATAAAAAATATATAAATTATAGGTATAGACTTACTTAAATAGAAGTTTTATTAAAGAAGACCTTGAAATAATAACTGTAGTGCAAATACACATATTTTCGGCATGATTGCCCTCCTTTAAAAGCGGTAAATTTCCGTTTATGTAATTTTCTATATTGTAAAGTTTTTATTTAAGAATAGACGAAATCATTATATTGTAAAAGATACATATTTTTAAATGTTTTTATAAATATTATTAAATGTTTTATTTCGACTTTTTGTTTGTTGTTTTTACGGCGTTTTAACGTATAGCCCATATGGCACCGAAACAGAGAAGTTGGCTTTGTTACCTTTGAGCCTTACAAACGCAAATGCAACACTAATACACTAGGAGTTTAAACCAGCCTACCTACTGGAACTAAGAGATAAGTCACATCAATTTCGATAATGAGAGGCATAAATGGTTGTTTCAACCCTTCAGGCACGCACCCTTTAGCCCCAAAGGGGCTTAATGTCTCATAATGATATTTCTGCTATAAAACAAATTGCATTAAATAATACATGTATTTGAATTTTATAAATATTATTTAATATTTCATTTCGATTGTCTGTTTGGATGTTTTTACGGCGTTTCAACGTATAGGTCATATGACACAAGGAAGTGGGTTTAAAGGAGAGCAAATAGAAATCAATATAAAGCCATAGTGAATGTCGTATATCTTTATACTTCAAAAGATTCTTGGTGGAGTGGATCGGAAACATGTCTGTTATGTCATACTCACGCATAAATATCAAATACACGCAATGAACCATATCATGCACGAGAATTCATAAGTTTGATCGTGCAAACGCTTATAAAAAATTGTTTTTTGAAGAATCGATCGCTTTTATACATAATACTCAATCACTTTAACCGTACAAATTACAAAAAGACAACAGAGGCAAACGATGGTTTAGGTTATTTGCCTTTGCAATACTTTTCAAAACATTAAATCATTAAACAGATTATCAAAAAAGTGTTTTAGAAAAAAAGATTAAAGCATATCCGGTGCATGATAAGTCTGTAATGAACAAAACTGTACAATTTTGTCATGGTACTTTTATATCATCGTAAGGGAAATTGGAATCTTAAGAAAAAAAAGAATGCTGTCAAGAAGAATAAGTTGATAATTTTATAAATAATTCTGTAACTAAGTTTAAATTTCTGATTTCCAAACAAGTACTTAAGTTATGTTTTTCCTAAAAGTTGATCAGCAGACGATTTAGCTAAGAAGACAAATGTAAATTCACAGTTTCTTTGATAATTCGATCATTTGATTGATAAGTAGAAAATGCGATTGAACCAAGATTCGGTAAGTAGGTAATTCATATACTTTTGAAATACGTCTACCATTTCTATAATGATCAATAAAGAAATCACCGCTAGCTTGTAATTTACATAAAAAATACCCGTTGATGATAGTCTACACATGAGCAAAATTTATTACTCTTATTAATAAATAGTTAATACAAGTACAGAATAGTCCAACTATAGATATTTGTATTTACATAAATATGAATCGCACGCACACACTGTAAGACTGCCACTTCTTTCACATTTAGGTATCAGACTGACCTTTGATCAAGCTCTTGAAACTACTGAAAATATGAATGAACACATAGTTAAAATCAGTTGTCAGCCAGAAAGCAAACACACTTGCAAAAGTTACTAAATTTTGCTTCCTTATAAGCTATCATTACTAACTAGTTTTTAATCTTTTTCTTCGAGTTAAGTTTTTGAAATATTCTTTGAAAAACAATAATTTTTATCTTATTTTGGTTGCATCTAGACTGAATATATCATGTCTGTAATTTCACTGAACATTGTTTTGTATTACTTTCGAAATAAAATTAATGTTTACTTACTGTTATCAATTTCAGATTTAACACAGAAGCCCGCACAGGTTTCTTCTTTAATTTAGAATAAGAAAAAAAATTCATACTTCCTTAAAACAACAAACGTCTGGAAATGCTCTTAAATGTAAAAAAATGTAATGAAATTAATAGAAATTTGATAACAACATATTTGCATATCAGACAAGATTTATAATAAAAAAATGTTAGTTTTATTTTTTCTTAAATACAATGTGGAAGAATAAGACGGAAGAAATAGCTGCCGGGTAACTGTTTAACGGGAATACGTCAGAGCCTGGTTTCCGCCGAAAACAATTTCTTTCGAGCTCTATATTACAGTCTGTAACGGTTGTTGGTGTATATGTCAATACAACTCGTAAAATGGTTGCAGAAGCTCAATCTCAATACAGAGATGACGAGTAATAGTAAATGTTATAGCAACAAATGAAAGAGTCGTGTGATTCTATTATCAATATGTTTTGGATGTGTTGAACAACACAACACACGTTATATGGCGACGTTCCAGTTATACTGGAGTAAGACCTCGCGTGCCCCTTTTTGCATTATTTGTGTAGAAACACTGACGTTCTCTAAGCAAACAGGATAGCTTTGTCACATGAAAAAATTGAAGACACTGGCGTGACTTTACCCTGAAGCGGTGAGAGCCAAGTGTTTTTAAATCAACGACGCTAACGACTCGGCCACGGACGTCCCTTATTCATTAGTTTGACACCTATATTAAAACAAAACAGTTGATAACTTTGTTACAATTTCAATTTAAACCACTTGCCTATTGATGTGCAAGGATTATTATGAAACGCTATAGATATCGTCTAACACACAACTAAAACAATCTATACACCGATCGATATACAATCTGATACTATATACATACACCGCCATATCCAACATTTATTCTTCGGAAATTAATATTACTTGTTACCATAGATTTGTATCGTTTATCGCCACCATTCAGTATACAGTGCATACTCTGCTGGGAGCAAACACATTTTCTTCTTTTAGAACAGGCTCAATCAAACCGAGCCTGCAACATTTTCAATTTTGCCGTGTTGGGCTTTCTTTAAGTATACTTATTTTCTCTCTTTTAATAATGAAATGGTGAACAATGTTTCGTGTCGTCGTGTCTTCGCCTTCCGGTAGTCATGCATAAAACAATAACACATATGCTGACTTAAAGTAAACATAGTGGGAAGAAAGCTTATGTCGCGAAAAGAACTTTGCGCCTTCTTAGTGCATATTTAAATTCAAATTTATGACAAGGATGTTTTATAATAAATTCATCGATAATATCATTAATTTGCCTAAAATGTATCGTGTCTTCGTACCGGTGCCCTCAAAAGGTCGACGGCAAAATGAGCATATTATCCTGTCTTACCATCGATGTTTGAGGGGCGAAGACACGAAGACAAGAAATGGCAGAAATCAGCCACCAAACACACTTAGATTTCACACTGAAATTAAATAAACTGATCTGCGACAAAAAAATGCTTGCAACATGAATTTCTTAAATAGATCTAGTGGATACGCACACACGCATACGCATAACAATCAACAACAACAAAAAAAAACCCCAAACCCCCCCCCCCAAAAAAAAACAACGACAACAAAAATAAACACCAAACACTTAGATCAACACCTCGCGGCAATAAACAATATCTTTGCCTCCTAAAGGTGGCTGCTATACAAAGGTAGTAATGTAAATAAAAAAAGAACAAGAATAATCCATGTAAAATATATAAAAAAACACATAATCCAAAATACTCACAACTATGAAGAAACATAATAAAATTAAAACCAAACAAAATACAATGGGTTTTATTAATACATAATCATAATAATAATTTATAATTCACAAACTCCCTTAATCGAATGGTAACAAAATCTTAAAGATAAAAATACATTTTATATTAATATAAATGAGCAGATGACAGTAGAAAAATGCAGCAACAAGATAGATATGTAAACAAAATATTTGGATTTAACGTATTTTATCTCAAGTTTTCAGCACGCATTAAAGAGCAAGGGAGGTAATAAATGACGGCTCTTTTGAAGAAATATAAGGTTATAGTTCTTTTTAACGAGAATTTTACTAACATATTTTTAAATTTTAGTGGTGTTTTTTATTGTTTTTTTTTTTTTTTTTTTTTTTATAAAACGCAAACAATATTAAAAAAAGAGAAAATAAATTGAGAGCAAAGTAAACAAATTTAAATGAGGGAAAATGTCTTATTATTTTGCAGAAATATGACATAATTATTAAGAAATTCAGATTCTTAATTATGAGTAATTCACATATCTAATGAATTTTTCATCTCAGTACCACCGCCCAAATAACCATAACTCGACATGGGGTCAGTTATTCGGGTCCATATCGTTTACGTGCACATTATTGGTTGCTTATGTTAAACTATAACATATGACACATTTTTTTCGTGTTGCCGACTGTTCGCATTTTTTAATGTAAAATATCACGAGGACTCTAACGCCACATAACAGCTCTGTCGCTAACCTTGTCGATTTCGCGAATGTATAGATATTCAACAGAACCCGCTTGTTTGTTTAGGTTTGACTGCGACATTGACACAGTCATTACCCATCATTCCGCACCAAATAGTATGATAAGTTAGCCTAAAGTGAGTTGGTACCAGTGCTTTAGTTAAATATTTGAATTCCCGTTCAATTCATTTAGATGTTACTGTGGCAAAAAGTTCTGTAAGTTAATTTATTCGATATTTGTGAAAAATCATGACATTCAAGAAGGAAATGTTTGACACTAAAATATTCATTGTAATTTATTCAAAATGAAGCATCGCCTTATGTTAAAAAGTAAGAATATGTAACTGTAGTATGTCCAATTCTGCATCATTTTCGGATACCCACGGCAAAACCGTTATCATTTATCAGCCGTGGGATATTTGGCCAATATCCAGTCGATAAGAGGTGTGCAAAATACTGATATTTCATTGGTTGCCTCACTCATTTGTCGATATTTTATGCACCTTTTTGCTATTTATCGACGCAAATCGAATCATGTTACCCACGGCATGATTATATAATAATCAACTGTTGGTATCAGCTTTCACAGTGCTTTAAATATTCCAATGATTATTTTTGACAAAAACTAACTACTGACAGATTTTGTGTAAAACTATGTTATACGTATGAGTTATAAACAACAAACAGGTTATTGTACTGGGAAATAGTCAAAGATGAAACCACTTGTGTGTTGTTTAGTTGTTACACTATTTATCCAAAAGTGTAAGTATTAATATGAAATATTTAATATATTAAATCATATGCTTTTAGAGTCAGCTATTCCTTTAATGAAAAAAAAAAAGTTTTTTATTGTAAAAAAAATGTTGCTGTTCTAGTTTATTGCTGTTTATTTAATGTGATAATAAAATCGAAGCTTAACATATTAACAAAATGTATTGAAAGAAAAGAAAATAATATTACCATATTGTGGCAGATGCAGGAGCGTCAAATTTAAGATGTTACAGCTGTGAGTCATGCGGTGATCCCTTTGATGAATCTAACAAATTGAATGTGATATGTTCTGGCTCTTGCGTGAAATCAAACCAAAAAGGTTGTAAGTATGTTTATGGTATACTTTAATAATGATTTGCATATTGTCAAAAATGAATACATATATCAGTTATTTAACTAGTCAAAAGTCCAAATAGCTTAGAATATGTAGACATAGCATACATGTATATTGGGTACAATATATTTCCAATTGAAATTTTAACTCAGTATATATCTAATCGCAAACGTGTTTTAATTTCTGCATTATTTATGGGTTTGTGTTTATATTTATCTTTTTATTTTGTTTCGCATTTAAAGTTATTTCTACCAAAGGATTATAAATTTGTTAAGTTTATTTCAAGGTTCTTTTGTCAGGTCTGCTTCATAAGGCAAATACCTGACATCAGGAATTTGCCTTATCATGCCTCAAATTCCTTATTATAAATATGTAGATAACAATATATACATGTTCGAGGAATTTCATACATGAAAATCTCGTAAATATCTTATTTTCGAAAGCGATTCTTATTGCGTTCTAACGATCTCTCAGAAAAGAATTGCTGATAAATCCTGGAAAATTTATTATCATTCAAGTAAGTCACTTTATTCTTCCGATTCCGCTCTTTATTTGGGTGCTGGTTCCCGATAAGATGCTTTAAGCTATGAGTATACCTAGTTATAACAAGGGAAGCTGGAAAGTACTGCAAATGGAATCTTATCTTACAAAATTTTAATTTTCTTTCCGGACCAAATTATGTACGAATTACATTGGGCAAACTTGCGAATCCAAGCTATCAAAAAGGAGAATTTATGGTAAAAATTATGTCTAAACTCTTTGTAACAAATGTTTGTCGGTGTTTTTCTTAAGAGTATAGGCACATAAATTCATGCAGCTATGAAGCATCCAACTTTGAACTAAATTTCGCGACTTAGGCAAATAAATTTGGATGTTTTTTTCAAGTGCAACACATGTCCAAAAGTCGAAGAGGTAAAGTATGTAGTTACCATTGTGCGACTCCGAGTCGAACAGCAAAAATCTCGTGCGTTTATACTTTGAGTATATGTCAATAAGGCAAATGAAGCATATAAAATTAGGAATTTGTTGTATAATAAGGCAAATACCTCGTGTGAATGAAGCAGACCTGTTTGTTGGCTCGACCTAAGTAATTATTGTTAAAGATGGTTTTAGTGTTGGAAGTGAATATCGTTGACATTAGAAAAAGCATGATAAATGTGCTTTCGGTTGAAACTTATACACAGATTTTATTTAATTGAATCTGATTTATTCATTTAATAATTTTAGTGCTCTAAAAATATCATATTAAGAAATTATTTCGAACGTTGTGTAGTTGGCTGAGATCGACACATTTCAAAATTAATGTACATTTCTATATTCACAGGTATTACAAGAGGCTGTTCAAATATTACTCTGGTATCAGAATGTTCAAAAGATGGACAACTTGAAGTTTGTGCATGTGACACATATCTATGTAACAAGACGCAAGGAAAACACAAATATTTGGTTGGACTTTATATCGCCAGCATCATCTTTTTTCTTTTACACACTCTCGATAGATATCATAATTGATGCGTTTCATATTGAGGATCGTTTGCTGATAACAAGTCTTTAGATATACATTATGACGAAAGGCTATTTTGAACATTCGCCATTACCTGTGAAAGGTACCAGTTTTAAAATGAGATTATTGTTCATGACTATCTTGGGATTAACATGGATGATTTCCCTTGTGCAGTATAGCTTATTAGTATGTGTTTAGGATTAGTTTTGCTCCATTTCTCTTTATTATACTTATTATGTGTATTGTAATTTATTTCAAATGGCGAAATGTCCATTTGTGTTACACGAGTTACAATGACAAGGTTTCATACTTATCTTTCTTAAAGGGTTTATCGCTATCTCTTATAACGACTTTTCCATAACTTAATAGTCGATTATCGAAATTGTAAAAAATGATAATTTGATAAAAACCGATTCTGTGATTTTAACTGTTTAACAATGATTTTGTGCATGTACCAAAATATTTCTTTCATACAAATAATTTGAATTTATTCTTTTATTCAAAATTCAAAACAAACCTTTGTATACTGCAGGCAGAAGAAATAAAGTTTCATCTACACATGTACATACATGCATAGAAAACATAGATTAAATGACAATAAAAACAAAATACATGTATATAAACTCTTAAATGAATGTGTAATAAGCACAAATATTTTGTGAGAATTTTCAATGATACACCTCTACAACCATGTGGCACTTTTGTTATTGTAGATTGTGACATTGAATTTAATTATGCATGCAGGAGTATTATGGCGAGAACAAAGACATTGATCATTTAGATTGAATAAACGTCCATATAAAATGCTAACACTAGGCGGGAGGTGAATACAATTTTTCTTCATAGTGTATTTTGCTAAACCTTGCAAAATGATATCATGAAAAAATAAATAAATGACTGATATAGACTTCCTTAAATAGAAGTTATATTAAAGAATAACGTGAATTAACAACTTAATTGCAAGGACACATATTTTCGGCATGGCATGCGATTGAAAAATTGAAAATGCGCCCGTTTAAAGGCGACATTATAACGCTTGTGTAAGGGCTACATTGTAAAGGTTTTATTAAGAATAGACGAAATCATTTTATTGCAAAAGATATATATTTTAAAATGTTTTTTGTTTATAAATATTATTAAATGTTCATTTCCGATTGTTTGTTTGGATTGTTTTTTTTACGGCAAATCAATGTAAAGGCAGGGATGTTGATATTGTTAACTTTGGGCGTTACAAACGAAAATGCCACACAAGGATTCAAAACAAGCCCACCTTCTTGAGCTACTCCAAATATTGAAAACTCATTCAGTCACTTCAATTTCGACAATGTGAGGGATGAACGGTTGCTTCGACCTTCCAAGGCAGGCGCCCTTTGGGTCACAAAGGGGCTAAATGTTTCATAATGGTATTTCTGATATTTTTAAGCAAGCTGCATATACATGTATACTTATTTAATTTTTATAAAAATTATTTAATGTTTCATTTCGATTGTCTGTTTGGTTGTTTTTTTACGGCGTTTCAACGTATAGGTCATATGACACCAAAACAAGGAAGTGGGTTTAAAGGAGAGCAAATAGAAATCAATATTACGCCATAGTGAATGTATATCTTTATACTTCAAATGATTGTTAGTGGATCGGATACATGTCTGTTATGTCATACTTACGTATAAATATAAAATACACACAATGAACCATATCATGCACGAGAATTCATAAGTTTGATCGTGCTAACGCTTATAAAATTTGTCTTTTGAAGAATCGATCGCTTTCAAAATTAGTTGATAGCAACATTTCAAGGTAAAAATTTGAAATACACAGTTTTTGCTTTTGTATTTAATAATTATTAGCACATGACAGGCAAACTACATCGAAACTGTTAAAGAAAGCAAACAAATTAAATAATCAGCAAATTTGAGCAAAAAGACTAAAATTTGTACTTTTATGTTGTAGCAATTGTTCTCGAGTGAAACTTGAGAAAGAAATAAATTCAATATATAATTAAATCATAAAAAGATAGTAATTAAAGGGACATAATGACTCAGAAAATATTTTTCCCTTTTTATAAAGGTTAAACATGAATTTAAAAAATGATTAAAAAATCAAAAATAAAGTGATCCCTCGGAAGCATCAATCACAACACAATTACATGAAAATTGCAGACTTGGTTTGATTGAGTCTGTACATAAGGAGTAATGAATAAGTGTAATATCCCTCATGCCCACTAGCACCAGCTTGAGTGGTACTCAATTCTGAACACTTAATTGTACTGGCATCAACAGACAAATATAGCAACACTTAATTGGAGAACGGGGAAATGTTTTACAGCTGTCACACGGCACATGGCGCCTGCTATTGTGAAGTATAAAAAATTAATTAAAGCTTAGATGCTTATCACCAGAAGAAAGTAGCACTGTCTGTCAAAGTATTTGTCATAAGTGTAGCAAAATATAAACAAAGTGGTATTTTGACTTTTATACAAAATACTCAGTCACATCAACCACAGTACAAATTACAAAAATACAACAGAGGCAAACGATGGTTTCGGTTATTTGCCTTTGCATTACTTTTCAAAACATCAAACTCTTAAACAAACTATCTACTACTGTTTAAGAAAAAAAAACAGAAGCATTTCTGGTGCATGTTGAGTCTGTAATGAACAAAACTGTACAATTTTGTCATGGTACTTTTATATCATTGTAAGGGAAATTGGAATCTTAAGAAAAAATAGAATGCTGTCAAGAAGAATAAGTTGATAATTTGATAAATAATTCTGTAACTAAGTTTAAATTTCTGATTTCCAAACAAGGTACTTAAGTTATTGTTTTTCCTAAAAGTTGATCAGCAGACAATTTAGCTAGGAAGTCAAGTGTTTGGTAAAAGGGACTCCACTGAGGTTTAAAAGCCTAAAACATAATATTTGAATTTCTTACATAAATGAGCTGGGGCGCCTTAAACATATATTTACGCAAAGATAGTTAAGAAATATACCTTGAAATAAATTGAAAATCGTATTTTTATGCTTTTCTTAGCCTGGTTTGAGTGAAAAACGTTTAAACGCTTTTCATTTTGGGTCATTTTTTTCACAATTTGAATAATTATTTTGGAAAAGCGAAGTGCACGAATGATCTTAGAGTTTGAACAAAGATTAGTGGTCTAAACCTACATCAAATGGAACATATATCTGGAAAAAATATTTTCAGTCACATCAATGTCAAAAAACCTCAGTGGAGTCCCTTTAATAAATTCACAGTTTCTTTGATAATTCGATCATTTGATTGATAAGTAGAAAATGCGACTGAACCAAGATTCGGTAAGTAGGTAATTCTTATACTTTTGAAATACGTCTGCCATTTCTATAATGGTCAATAAAGAAATCACCGCTAGTTTGTAATTTACATGAAAACTACCCGTTGAAAATCTAAGATGATATTCTACACATGAGCAGAGAATTCAAAAAATATTTATTACTCTTATCAATAAATAGTTAATACAAGTACAATATAGTCAAACTATAGATGTTTTTTTTAACAGAAGATTTGTTACACAAATATGAACCGGTAAGACTCACACACGGTAAGACTGCCACTTATTTCACATTTTTGTATCAGACTGACCTTTGAACAAGTTCTTGAAACTACAGAAAATATGAATGAACACATAGTTAAAATCAGTTGTCAGCAAGGAAACAAACACACATGCAAAAGTTACTAAATGTTGCTTCCGTATAAGCTATCATTACTAACTAGCTTTTTAATATTTTTCTTCGAGTTTTTAAAATATTCTTCGAAAAACAATAATTTTTATCTTATTTTCTTTGTATCTTGACTGAATATAATCATGTCTGTAATTTTACTGAACATTGTTTTGTATTACAGTACTTTCGAAAGGCCTTTCGAAATAAAATTAATGTAAACTTACTGTTATCGTTTTCAGATTTGACACAGGAGCCCGCACATGTATCTTGTTTTTTATTTCTCAGATCAGAGTAATAGCATGGTTGACAATCGTAACATCTATATGACGATGATCTTGAAACTAGGGATTTTATATGAAATAGTAATGTAAAAAAGTAAAAAAATTTTAATAATAATCCAAACTACTCACAACTATGAAGCAACATAATTAAATTAAAATCAAACAAAGTATAATGGGTTTCATTATTATGAGCGGATGACAGTAGAAAAGTGCAGCAACAAGATAGATATGTAAACAAAATATTTGGATTTAACGTATTTTATCTCAAGTTTTCAGCACGCATTAAAGAGCAAGGGAGGTAATAAATGACGGATCTGTCTGAAGAAATGATTAGGTTATAGTTCTTTTTAACGAGAATTTTACTAACATATTTTTAAATTTTAGTGGTGTTTTTTATTGTTATTTTTCATAGAACACACACAACATTAAAAAAGAGAAAATAAATTTAGAGCAAAGTAAACAAATTTAAATGAGAGCAAATGGTAGTCATATCAGTAGAGGTTTATGCATGCATGACATCCTCGAGTTTAATTAAATGTCATCATTATATATTAAGCATTTATTTGTCTAATTATTTTGCAGAAATATGACATAATTATTAGAAAATTCATATTCTTAATTATGAGTTATTCACGTATCTAATGAATTTTTCATCTCAGTATCACCGCCCAAATAACCATAACTCGACATGGGGTCAGCTATTCGTGTCCATATCATATACGTGCACATTATTGATTGCTGCTGTTTAAGGTAGTACACCCCTAATGGGCACTATAAGGAATTGTAAATTTGACAACATAGGACAGTTATATGCCTTAAATGTCACCTGTATGCAAACTTTAAACAAAGTTTACCATGTGGTTTATGAGTTATGGACATTTTTATGAACTAAAACTTTGCCATTAGAAGGGTTTTTTTTAGAAATGAGGAAACTCTAAATAATCTATAATACCATCATTATGAAAAACGTTTTCCTTTTGCTCATTGTTAAGAAATAAATAATGACATTTAGGTAACAAATTAAACAAGCAAAATGATTGTTTTTAAACGAAATGTTTTTAATATGTATAAAAATGTAACCCTACCCCACCCACTTTTAACACTAATTTGACCATTTCCCTATGTAAAAAGCCTTATTTAAAATATCCCTAAAATTTTCCAAAATGAGGGGCTATTTTCAAAGTTTGCCTAAATTTTCTTTAATGTATATTGGTTGGTCTTGCAAAATATAAAATACTTTTACCGTTTAGTTTTTATTTTATTAAACTTTGAAAATATCTGGTATCATATTTGCTATTAAATTTGGCATTATTTAGTAAATAAATACCTACAATAATTATAAAATTAAATTAAAACACTTTTTTCTTCCATAGGAGGTCTGAGAGATTAATAAAAAATGTTAAAAAGAAAAAAAAAGAAAGAAAAAAAATTGCCCCTTCTGGGGTTTGAACCCACGCCCCCTCAGTTTCAATACACTTTACAGTGATTTTAGCCTATTTGAATACGCTTCAAAGTGGAGACAGTGCATTAGGGGTGTACTACCTTAACTATAACATATGACACATTTTATTCGTGTTGCCCACTTTTCACATTTTTGAATAAAAATGTCACGAGCACTTTAACGCCACATAACAGCTCTGTCGCTAACATTGTCGATTTCGCGAATGTATAAATATTGAACAGAACCCGCTTGTTTGTTTAGGTTTGACTGCGACATTGACACAGTCATTACCCGTCCATTCCGCACCAAATAGTATGAATTTAGTAGGCCTAAACTGAGTTGCTACCAGTGCGTTAGTTAAATCTTTGAATTCCAGTTCAATTCATTTAGAAAAAGTTCTGTAAGTTAATTTATTCGATAAAATCTACTTCATGAAAAATCATGACAATTAAGAAGGAAATGTTCGACTGTAAAATATTCATTGCAATTTATTCAAAATGAAGCATCGCCTCCTGGTAAAAAGTAAGAATATGTAACTGTTGTATGTCCAATACCCACGGCCAAACCATTAACATTTAACAGCCCGATATCCAGACGATGAGAGGTGTGCCTTATATTGATATTTCATTGGTTGCCTCACTCATTGGTCGATATTTTACGCACCTTTTTGCTATTTATCGACGCAAATCGAATCATGTTACCCACGGCATGATTATATAATAATCAACTGTTTGTATCAGCTTTCACAGTGCTTTCAATATTCATATGATTATTTTTTTTACAAAAACTAAGTACTGACAGATTTTATGTAAAACTATATTATACGTATGAGTTTTAAACAAGAAACTTGTTATTGTACTGGGAAAATAGTCAGAGATGAAACCACTTGTGTGTTGTTTAGTTGTTACACTATTTATCCAAAATTGTAAGTATTCATATTAAAGTATTTAATATATTAAATCATATGCTTTTAAAGGCAGCTATTCCTTTAATGAAAAAAAAAAGAACATAAAAAAATGAGTTGTGTGTTGTGATTGTTTTATTTGTTTGAACGATTAAAGTCATTCTGAATCTGTCTAAAATTTTTATATCCCATTTAGTAACATTTAAAAGGTATAAGTGTTTGTAATTATTTTTGTACACATTAACTATAGTAAATCTGCATTAAACGTTCCAACTTTTAATCAGTTAATTATCAGTTAGTAAATACGGACTGTTTTACAAAATCCTTTTGTGCAGGCGAATGCGTTGTTTAGAGGCGTGACTTGCGTATTTTAGATTACATACATATAGAAACATAGAGAGATATTTTAATGCCTAACAAAAAATCTCCCTCCACCCTAAAAAATAAACAACAACAACAACAACAACAACAACAACAAAAACAACCAATACTTTGGGAATCGTTCTGCTTTAGACATAACACATATGACACACAGCTATGAAATTAACATATAACATGAGTACGTCTATAATTAGATAAATATAGTATACAGAGAAAAGATAGATGTTTGTAAAACAACAACAACAACAATCTGTGAAGATATAGCTCTGATAAATTCCTCACTTTACTAAATGGTTTGTGTTCTTGGCATGGAAGTATAAGGCAGTTGGCACACGCCAAATTTGTGAAAATGTATCACATAACTTTATATGAGATTTTCAATTCAATAATACAGCTTGTATTTCGAGTGTTGCTGTTATAGTTTATTTACTGTTTATTTAATGTTAAAGTGAATTCGAAGCTTAACATATAAAAAGAAACGAATTGAAAGAAACTAAAATATTATTACTTTATTGTGGCAGATGTAGGAGCGTCAAATTTAAGATGTTACAGCTGTGAGTCATGCGGTGATCCCTTTGATGAATCTAACAAATTGAATGTGATATGTTCTGGCTCTTGCGTGAAATCAAACCAAAAAGGTTGTAAGTATGTTTATGGTATATTTTAATAATGATTTGCATATTGTTTAAAATGAATACATATATCAGTTATTTAACTAGTCAAAAGTCCAAATAGCTTAGAATATGTAGACATAACATACATGTATATTGGGTACAATATATTTCCAATTGAAATTTTAACTCAGTATATATCTAATCGCAAACGTGTTTTAATTTCTGCATTATTTATGGGTTTGTGTTTATATTTATCTTTTTATTTTGTTTCGCATTTAAACTTATTTCTTCCAAAGGAAAATTAGTGACCAAAGCAGATCTAAATTTTGTTAAGTTTATTTGAAGGTTCTTTTATCAGGTCTGCTTCAGGTATTTGCCTTATTGTACCTCAAATTCCTTATAATGTATATGTAAATAACAATATATACATGTTCGATGAATTTCATACATGAAAATCTCGCAAAAATCTTATTTTCGCAAGCGATTCTTAATGCGTTCTAACGATCTCTCAGAAAAGAATTTCTGATAAATCCTAGAAAATGTATTATCATTCAAGCAAGTCACTTTAATCTTCCGATTCCGCTCTTTATTTCATTGCTGGTTCCCGGTAAGATGTTTTTGGCTATAAGTATTACAAGTTATAAGAAGGGAAGCTGGAAAGTACTGCAAATGGAATCTAATCTTATAAAATTTCAATTTTCTTCCCTGACCAAATTATGTACGAAGTACATTGGGCTAACTGGCAATCCAAACTATCAAATAAGAGATTTTATGGTAGAATTTATGGAGTCTATGACATCTAGACCCCTTGACACCTCGACCCCTTGACACCTCGACCCCTAAGACATCTCGACCCCTGACACTTAGACCCCTAAGACACTTAGACCCCTTAAATATACCTGACATTTCGACCCCTTAATTAATGTATTATTATATTAGGAAAGACCGTGCTTTTCTAAAAATAAAAAACAAAGTAATGACTTAATTTACCAATTGATATCCAAATAGATCTTTTTAATAAAACAATAAAACCTATTCTTCTTTATGGGGCGGAAATATGGGGATATGGTAATATAGAAGTGATTGAACGAGTCCAATTAAAATTTTTAAAGTATATTTTAAATATGAAAAGATCCACCCCAAATTATATGGTGTACGGAGAAACAGGCTGCCTGCCGCTATCTATTGATATAAACGAAAGAATAATCATGTTTTGGGCTAGATTAAAAAAGCACGATATAAATAATCATCAAAAGAAATTGTCGTCTCTATTATACAATATTACATATAATCTTTCAAAAAACTTAAGTGAAAATAATTTGAGAAAAAAATTTCTTTGGATTGCAAACTTAAGACAATTTTTTATAAATTGCGGTTTATGTAATATATGGGACACACAAAATTTTGGAAACGAGAAGTGGTTGAAATTAGCAATTAGACAGAAACTAAAAGATATTTTTCTAAATGATTGGTATTCCGTTATTCAAAACTCTAGCAAAAGTACATTCTACAGAATATTCAAAAAAGAATTTAAATTCGAAAAATACCTTTTATCAACCCCTAAACCTTTTCTTCGTTACATGATAAAATTTCGTACACGTAACCATAGATTACCAATAGAAACCGGAAATTGGGCCCGAATACCAACCAATCAAAGAACATGTACTTCTTGTAACAATAAAATAGGCGACGAATTTCATTACTTATTTGAATGTGTTTTGCTTAATGATGAAAGAAAGAATTTTTATTTTAATTTTATAAATATGGGGTGTCAGCTTCCGTAAATTATTACGCAGTCAATAATTATATTTCCGTTAACTATTACACATAATTCAATATTTCATTTAGTATAAACGTTCATTGCCAATGTAACATTATCATGTCAGTTTACAAATTTTTAGTTATAATTGATACGACTTTCGTATGAATTATATGTAAATGGAAAAATGAAACATTACTCACCAGTTTTGCAGGTTCTGTGTTGCACCTTCTCACAAATATCACATGTAACGGCATGTTGTAAAGGACGAACAGTCTCATTGCACGCAATACACAAAACGGACATTATCATTTAATAAATAATCATTTAATAAATTAATATGATTATGACAAATATATACACAAAAAAGGTCTGTAATAATATTCCTTCATAATAGGAAACACGCTTAATGTTAATAAAACTAAAAGGATGTAGAAAATACTCGTTTTTATGTATATCTTCACAAATTTTAGTAAATGATATTATTAAAAAATGTGTGTAAATAATTAGTAAAGGCTTTCTATAACATCAAAGATCATTTGTAACTTGCGATGTTATATGTCTAATAAATAATTGTTACTTCATGCGCTAATGACGAAATTATAAATTAGCACCATAACATTAAACCACGGGACTTTAATCCGATTTTAGTCCGTAATTAAACAAATGAAAACTGTGATTTGTTTATTAATCACCAAAATTAGATTTTAAAAAATGTAAATTTGCAATTGATATTTCAGAAAATAAAAACAAATAAATTTAAACAAAAATCTTAAAGATTATAATTAAAAAAGGCGTACAATATTTTCAAAATATATGTACGGTTCTTTTAAAGTCCAGCATTTAAAACAGGGGTCGAAATGTCTTAGTCAGTAGGGGGTGAAAAGTCATCTTACAAGGGGTCTAAGAGTCAAGGGGTCTAGATGTCATCTTAATATCCTAAGGGGTCGAGAAGTCAAGGGGTCTAGATGTCTTACTTGCGAATTGATGTCTAAACTCTTTGTAACAAATGTTTGTCGGTGTTTATTGCAAAACTGTTTTTCTTAAGAGTATAGGCACATAAATTCATGCAGCTATGAAGCATCCAACTTTGAACTAAATTTCGCGACTTAGGCAAATAAATTTGGATGTTTTTTTCAAGTGCAACACATGTCCAAAAGTCGAAGAGGTAAAGTATGTACTTACCATTGTGCGACTCCGAGTCGAACAGCAAAAATCTCGTGCGTTTATACTTTGCTATGTCAATAAGGCAAATGAAGCATATAAAATTAGGAATTTGTTGTATAATAAGGCAAATACCTCGTGTGAATGAAGCAGACCTGTTTGTTGGCTCGACCTTAGTAATTATTGTTAAAGATGGTTTTAGTGTTGAAAGTAAATATCGTTGACATTAGGAAAAGCATGATAAATGTGCTTTCGGTTGAAGCTTATACACAGATTTTATTTAAGTGAATCTGATTTATTCATTTAATAATTTTAGTGCTCTCAAAATATCATATTAAGAAATTATTTCGAACGTTGTGTAGTTGGCTGACATCGACACATTTCAAAATTAATGTACATTTATATATTCACAGCTATTACAAGAGGCTGTTCAAATATTACTCTAGTATCAGAATGTTCAAAAGATGGACAACTTGAAGTTTGTGCATGTGACACATATCTATGTAACAAGACGCAAGGAAAACACAAATATTTGGTTGGACCTTATATCGGCAGCATCATCTGTATTATTTTACAAACTTTCGATAGATATCATCATTGAAACGATCCGCATCGATCATCGTTGCTACTAACAGGTCTTTAGATACATACATTATGACGAAAGGCTATTTTGAACATTCGCCATTACCCGCGAAAAGTACTAGGTTTTAATTGAGATTATTGTTCATGACTATCTTGGGATAATATGGATGATTGCCCTTGTGCAGTATAGCTTGTTAGTAAAAATCATATTCTAAATAATAAAAACACAATAAAACATGATTTTGTTTTTAAATGTGTCTATGCTTAGGTTTGCTCCCTTTCTCTTTATTTTACGTTTTCTTTGTATATGTTGTATTGTAATTTATTTCAAATGGCAAAATATCCATTTGTGTTCACGAGTTAAAATGATAGAGTTTGATACTTATCTTTCTTAAAGGGTATATAGCTATCTCTAATAATTAAAAAAACAGTAAAACAGTTTATTATGACTTTTCATAAATTAAAAGTCGATAATCGAAATTGTAAAAATGATAATTTGATAAAAAAGAAAAGGATTTTGTGATTTTAACCGTCTAACAATGATTTTGTGCATGTGCCAAAATATTTCTTTCATATAGATAATTTGAATTTATTTTTTTTTTTCAAAATTCAAAACAAACCTTTATATACTGCAGGCAGCAGGGATAAAGTTTCATTTACACATGTAAATACATGCATAGAAAACACAGATAAAATGACAACATAAACAAAATATACCAACTCTTAAATGAATATATAATAAGTAAAACGTTTTGTAAGAAGTTTCAATGATACACCTCTACACATTAATCATTGAATTTGTGACACTTTTGTTATGAGAAAATGTGAGATTGAATGATTATAGCTATGCATGCAGGAGTATTACGGCAAGGACAAAGACGTTGATCATTTAGATTGAATAAACGTCCATATAAAATGCTAACACTAGGCGGGAGGTGGGGCATTTTTAATGGAGAGCAAATAGAAATCAATATTACGTCATATTGTATGTATATCTTTTTATTTCACGTGATTTTGTCTGTTCAAATGCTTATAGGTGAAATTGGAAACATGTCTTTTATCATATACTTAGGTTTTAAATGGAAAGGCACACGCAATATACGATATCATGCACCAGATTTCATAAGTTTGTATCGTACAAACGCTTATTTAAATTTGTCTTTTGAAGAACTAATCACTTTCAAATAAGTTGCTAGCAACATTCCAAGGCAAACATTTGAAGTACAAAGTTTTCATTTCCGTATCTATTAATTATTAGCACTTGACAGGCATACCATTTCGAAACCCTTAAAGAAAACAATAATATTAAATGTACAGCAAATTTGAGAAAAGGTCTGAAATATGTACTAGTATGTTGTATAATTTGTTCTCGAGTGAAACTTGAAAAAGCAATAAAGACAATTTATACTTTGACAATTAGTAGATATTTAAGGGACATAATGCCTTAGAAAGTATTGTTTCCATTTTTATAAAGGTAAAACATAAGTTTAATAAATGATTCTAAAACTTAAATAAGATGCTTATGACCTGGAGAAACGAGCACAGAATGTCAGAGTATTTGTCATAAGAGTAGCAAATTATAAACAAAGTGGTATTTTGACTTAAATACAAAATTCTCAATCACTTTAACGTACTAATTACAAAAAAAAACCAACAGAGGCAAACAAGCAAACGATGGTTAAGGTTATTTGCCATTGAATTACTTTTCAAAACTTTAAATTCTTAAACAGACTATCGAAAATGTGTTTGAGAAAAAAAGTTAAAAACATTTCTGGCGCATGATGAGCCTGTAAAGAACAAACTGTACAAATTCGCAATAATACTTTTAAACCATTGTAAGGAAAAATTGGAATCTTAATAAATAGAATGCTGTCAAGAAGAATAAGTTGACCATTTGAAAAAAAATCTATACCTTATTTTTAATGTCTGATTTCAAAACAAGTGCTTAATTTAATATATATCCTGCAAGTTCATCAGCAGTCAATTTAGGTAGGAAGTCGATCATTTGATTGATAAGTAGAAAATGCGACTGAAGGAACATATTTTTATATAGATTCGGTAAGTAGGTAATTTTTACACTTTTGAAATACGTCTGCCATTCTAAAATGATCAATAAAGAAAGCACGGCTTGTTTGTAGTTTACATGTAAACTACCCGTTGAAAACCTAAAATGATATTCTACACACGAGCACAAAATTCAAACAAGATTTATTACTCTTATCAATAAAAAGTTAATACAAGTAAAGAATAGTCCAACTTTAGGTATTTGTTTCTCAGAAGATCTGTTACAGTAGTCTAAATCGCACGCACACACTGTTAGACCGTCTTGACTTTCACATTTTGGTATCAGGCTGACCTTTGAACACGTTCTTGAAACTACTGAAAATATGAAAAAATACATAATTGAAATCAGTTTTCAGCAAGCAAGCACCCCAGCAACATGTATGCATATCAAAAAGTTACTACATAGTGTTTCGTAATAAACTTTCAACTAACTAGTTTTTTTAAATCTTTTTCTTCGAGTTTTTGACATATTCATTCGAAAACAATTTTTTTTTATCTTATATTGTTTGTATCTTGACTGAATAGAACTATGTCTGTAATTTCACTGAACATTGTTTTTGTATTACTTTCGAAAGATCAGGTAATATTTATTTCAAAATAAAATTAATGTTAACTTACTGTTATCGATTTCAGATTTAACACAGGAGCCCGCACAGTTTTCTACTTTTTCATTGCTCGGATTTGAGTAATGGCATGGTTGACAATCGTAACATCTATTTGATGATGATCCTGAAACTAGGAATTTTATATAAAATAGAAATTAAAAAATCCTAAACATTTATATTGTATTGTTAGAACAACAACCATCTAAAAATGCTCTTAAATGTAAACAAATGCAATAAAATTAAAGATCATGTAACACATTTTTATGGTTTTATATAGAAAATATGATGCTCAAATTAAGATTGGTCAATATTGTAAGTTCCAAAAAGCATTATTATAAAGATATTACTCAATTTAATATTTCATGTAAATAAATGGAGGTTATTAGAAATTTGTTTTCTATTAATTCCTAGTCAAATTTTCCAATAAAAAATGAATGCATATAATTTAATGATTACATTTAATATGTACAAAATATTTGTAGTACATAATTTACATATTCATAGATGTTTAAAAATCAGTGTATTAGCATAATTATATACATATATTATTTCACGTAAGAGTGGTATACAACCTCAATTACAAAATATACAGAATCTATAATCTTAATTTGATTTAAACATTTTTACATAAAAGACAAGATTTATAACTACAAAATACCAAAATTAAAAATATTGGTTTTAGATTAAATACAATACGGAAGAAAAAGACGGGAATAAAAGCTTACGGGGGAACTCGGTAGAGCCTAGTTTCCGCCGATAACAATTTCTTTCGAGGTAGATATTACAGCCTGTTAATTGTGGTGGACTTTTAGGTTTCCTTTATATAAGACTGAATTATAATGCCCATTCCACACTGATATTTGATTTAATTAATCTTATTTCCACAGAATAAAAAACTCCAATACTGAAAATATTTTAACATTTTATTTAACTCATTTAATTCCAAAGTTAATTATTATAAAACTTAATCCAAACATTTAATGTATTTCTTAACAGTCCTTTATCACTTCTAATAATCTTACGTACATCTACAACCTTTATATACAAGTTACTATTCCCGCCATGAGCCTATGGAAAAACGTAAAAAGCACAAATCTCGTGGCAAGGAGTTTACAAAATATAAAGAATTTTTCCCGCCATATATCTAAATTGTAAATAACATGAAAATCAAGAATATATGAATATCATGGCAAGGAGCAAACAGAAAATAAAATATTTTCCGGCTTAAATAGTTAATTATCTAATAATATCGTGATATTCACGACATTAATATGCAATGACAGCAGAAGCTCAATCTCAATACAGAGAAGACGAGACATGGTAAAATGAAAGAATCATGTGATTCTATTTTAATTATTATTATGTTTTGTTTTGGTTTTACGTCGAACCAACACAGCACAGGTCATTTGGCGATTTTCCAGCTTTACATGGGGGAAGACCTCAGGTGCCCTTTTTGCATAACCTGTGAAGAAACATTGACGTTCTCTAAGCTAGATGGATAGCTTTCTCACATGAACAAATCGAAGACATTGGCGCGGCTTGACCCCGAAGCGGTGAGAGCCAAGTGGTTTTAAGTCAACGACGCTAAAAACTCGGCAACGGACGTCCCTTATTCATTGGTTTTGACACATACATTAAAACAAAACAGTTGATAACTTTTGATAAAATTTTAATTTTCACCATTTGCCTATTGATGAGCAAGGATTATTATGAAAGTTATATTCTAACACACAACTAAAACAATACAATACAGAAATCAGCCACCATACAAACTAAGATTTAAGAGGTCAAAAAGACTTACAACATGTATTTCGTATACAGATTTAGTGGGGAATTAAAAATAGTAAGAAACACAAAAGATAACCCAAACAAATTTTAATTGAATATCGTATCTTTCGCAGTTCTTAGCCTGATTTGAGTTACAGGCGATTTAGGTCATTTGTCAATTGAAATAATTTTTCTAGTAAAACGGAGAGAGCGTAAAAATTCAACACCTTTTAGCAAGAAAAGAATTATTGCAGGTATGCAGTCTGAGATACAATGCTGTAAATCAAATAACCGAACATTAATTATCTTAAAGATAAACAATAATAAAAAGAATATAAGCTAAAATACTCACAATTATGAAGAAATGCAATTATAGCCAAACAAAATACAATGGGTTTCATTTTAACATAAGTTTTCACAAACTCCAATAAGAAAGTTCTTAAATACATAGACTCTCTGATAAGAATTCATGTCGTACTTTTATGTAAATGAGCGGGTGACAGGAGAAAGGTGTAGCAACGAGATAGTTATGTTTACAAAAAATATATATTTGAATTAGAGGTATTTTATCTCAAGTTTTCTGATAAGAGTCTGGTACGATTAAAGAGCAAGGGAGGTAATAGATGATGGATCTTTCTAAAGAAATGATAAGGTTATAGTTCTTTTTATCTATTTTATCATACACAAACAATATTATAAAAAAGGAAATCAATAGCTATAGAGAGCAAAGTAAACGTATATTTTGGAACTGCAGCCATGTAAATAATGTAAATGTATTCGTTAATGTTTTGTCTTAATATTTTTGCACGTGACATTGTATCTGTTTTTGTAAACTATAAGAAAATAAAAAATCAGTAAAATATGATTAAACTAAACTTGTTTTACCTATTTTATAATGTTTAAAAAATTCATTAGATATAGCTGATATACCCTTTTAACTCGATATGAATCCCTAAATTTTACTAATTACTCTCTTAACAAAGGGCATTTACTTTAATACTCGTGCCAATGCTTGATATGTTATTTGACACGTTTCCCGCCTTTTATTGTATATTGGTTACATAGCGAGTGGGAAAAAATGCTGGAGTCTGAAAAAATGTAAGTACTCATAACACATGGTACAATTAACCTAGATCCTGTGAAACTGAAAGTACAAATATGTCAAGGACATCTTCTAGTCTTGTTATCGTATTAACATAATTTTTAGCTTTGTGGTATAAACAGTTTATATATTTTTAGAAGTATCAACACTTTTTTTTATTAGCAGCTATGTATATTGTAAAATATGCAAAATTAAAAAGTGCTATGTCAGCTGATCTAAAGCAAAAATAAAGAATGAAAGTATTCTTGATTTTAAGGTTTGAAATTATTTTCTTATCTAAATATATACAGTATTTCTAATGAATCATAACACATTCACGTTGGTAAATCGGCTAATTTTATCAATCCAGTAAAAAATCGACAGTTTTATAAAAAATAATTTCACTCACTAAATTGGTTAGCATTTACTACATTAAATTGGTCGAACCATTTTTGACTTTTTAATAATGTAAATGCTTTTTAAAACTAGCCTGTACATAAAATTGTATTCTTAATCCGTTTATTAATATAAACGGGGAAAGGTTGATTTTTTTTAATCCAATCAATTGAAAATCATAGTAAGATTAATCGATCTCGTTAATTGTACGAAACAAGATATCATGCTACTGAGAACATAGACTATCACATTTTTACAACAGTGACTGGACTTTATCGTACCTCTCGTATATGGATTTTCCATGCTATCAAGGTTACTGCTTTTAGCACGTGTGCCCGTGCACGATGATATGCAGAAAGCTTAGGGGTGCATATTTGTTAATCTAAACGTTGTATTTTTGCAACTTTTGACTAAATATCTGGAACCCAGCAAATGTGACTGTTTTTTGTGGTTTTTTTTCCAAGCTTATCTTCGGTATAAAATAATAATAATAATAATAATAATAATAATAATAATAATAATAATAATAATAATAAATGAAATAAATAAATAAATGAATATAATTCTTTTTTACTGTTAAAGATTCACGGTGCACTACTGGTCACAGCTAATTAGTCAACCTATTGCGCTTATTTTCGAAGCTGTTACTGTAATAGTTTGGCCGAAATAACAGAATATTCTAAATTACGGAGCAAGGCTATTGACAATCAATGATCGATTTTCGCCGGGATAGTGATAAAGCATTTTGAATTTAGAATAATGTTTGGTATTATGATAGAAGATATCGATATAATCGACCTTGAATACGTATCAAAATATGTTAATTTTAACATGCTCTATATGTATAAATTTACGGAATAAGGTCAATCTAGCAATTTCAAGAAAACAAATAGAAACCTGATAGTGTATATTTTATTATCATTTTCAGGAAATCGATGACGGTATGTAAAAACGAATGTTGGGCATGAAAAAGAGATGCATGCACAACATTGATATGCATTTTAGTGTTTATTAATTATGTTTAAGTTTGTTAAATTACGCTTGTTCTAAGGAAAGGGTCAAATTCAATTTATCAATTTTGTGGCTATGACGTTTTGACTACGTGCAGATAGGTTTTAAAGCAGCACGCCTCCAGATTCATGCTAATTTTCATGAAAATTTTGAAAATGTATCTGAGTATTTAATATTGAGAAGTAACCAAAAGGCAGCAATTTACACATTTTTAATGGCACTTACAACCCCTGTAAATTACCATAAAGAGGTCAAAATATGCATAAATAGCCCTTACTGCGTTAGTAACGCAGTAGAAATATAGATGTAAATACTGAAAAATCAGTCATTAATTGCACAAAATATGTAAAATATTACATGAATTTGGAATCTTTTTACTTTCCTTAATATTTTAGTACATCTTTCTTATGTTTGATTTTATTGAAATATTTTGACCTTCATTAACAATTTTAAAATGCATACAAAGTAGTGCGTCAACGCATCGACGCATAGAATTGACGAAACGTTGATTAAGGTTATTTGGAAGATTGTTCCATTCCGCTATCAATGCATTTGTCAGTTGGAGGATATTCTGTGGGGCGTGATGTCGTCGGACATCTCTGCCAAGCATATCCCAGATATGCTCTATCAGATTTATATCTGGAGACATTGCTGGCCATTGCATGGTTTTGACGTTGGCTGCAGCTAAGCGAGCGCGAGTTATCCTCGCCGTGTGAGGACGAAACACAACGGGACCGTTTCCTCGGCATTCAAGACTTCGTTGATGTATCTCTGGGCGTTTAAGTTGCCGTGTATAACAATAAGCCGGGTCTTTTGTCCACCCATTTTCCAGCCCCATACCATGACGCTTCCATCACCGAAACGATCATTATGTCTAACACAGACAGGTGCAAACCTCTCGCCCTTTCGACGGTAAATTCTTACGCGGCCGTCGGCATAACTGAGATTGCAACGTGTCTCGTCTGAAAACAGGACAGTATTCCAGTCACGTTGCCGCCAGTGACGATGCGCACGTGCCCACCTGATACGGGCCTGACGATGGCGTAAAGTGAGAATACCGCCTGTATATGGGCGTCGCGCTCTCATCGACGCAACCGATTGCGAATGAGCGGGCGCGGTCAAGGTCGCTGGTCTGAACCTGCCACGTAAGTGAGTTAAAACAATTGCACGGTCGTCAAAACAAAAACATGTATAGTATATTTATAGTACATAATTCTCACTACACATGTTTTGATTTAAATCAGAAATTAGAAAATGTGTAAAAGAAATAAAGTGTCAGGTTTCTATTTTTGTTGAGTATATTTGATTAAAAGGTGATTAAAGGCAAATTTGTTTAACATTTACAAACCAAATTCAATATACTTCCTCGTTGTTACCTGTATGTTTATATGTAGATAAAAACTATTATTAAACGTTAGCTTTTATATAGGTATAAATCGGCTATATAGGTTAATACACTTTCCGAAAATAAAATGAATGTTTGTAACTAGACAAGCGTAAACGAAATGTGATCTAAGATATTATAAAGTAACAACTTTAATGTATCATATTAATGTGTTGCGCGCGCTTATTGCGGAGTTAATAATTCAGGTAAGTGTGTCATGTTTTGCAATCTGTTTTGGTTTGTCATTGTTTATACTACTTGCATCACAAATTAGACTGCATAATTATCATACTATACTGATCGCTTATTGCAAGTCAACATGTTTAAGTTTGTTGTGTGTTTCTTGACAATTGAAAAAAAAAGCTATCACATACTTTTTTTTATAATAAATGCTGGATTTTCGGAAAATGCATTTGTGCCTTTGCTTTACTAATTTCAATTTTTTATATGCAAATTTTACTTTGTAGGCATTTTAAACTCATTTTTATATTATCCTCATAGGTATAAATGGGAAATTTTAAATACTTTATTATCACGTGCGCATGCACATGTGTCAGTACAATATTTGCAAGTGTTAGCAGACTGCATGCGAACGTAGTAGATGGTATATGCACACGTTTTAACGAGTGCACGTGATGTCAACTAAATTAATTGTCAACACGTTTATACGTTTTACCTTTACAGAAAGCACGTGTAATTTACTACGTGCACATATAATACGTACACGTCATAAATAATCCCAGTAAGGCCACGGTACATATGAGCCGCGTCATGACAAAACCAACATAATCAGTTTGCGACCAGCATAGATCCAAACCAGCCTGCACATCTGCGCAGTCTGATCAGGATCCATGCTGTTCGTTATCAGTTTCTCTACTTGTTATAAGGTTTGTAAGCAAACAGCACGGATCCTGATCAGACTGCGCGGATGCGCAGGCTGGTCCGGATCCATGCTGGTTGCAAACCCACTACGTTGGTTTTGTCGTGACGCGGCTCAAATTTCAATGCAAGAAAATCAATCTGATGTTTACTATTATATTAGTATTCTGTCATGCTAATGTAGGGGATATATAAGCGTAAAATTTAATTAATATAATAACTTAAGAGTAGACGAAAGAATGTACGTCATTTATGCTAAATATGCCACTCGTTATCTTGCAAGCAAAATAAATAGTTACGCATTTTTAGTACTGAAAACTTGTCTTATAATTAAGATACAGTTTAGCCCTGCAAATTTTTAAGACAACACGTGAAATGCATAATCGTATAAGGAACAATTAGCCGGTCATCAAAATAACAGGGCACCGATTACAGCAATATAGATCTAAAGCTTATTCTACATGTAACTAGCTAACCTTGACGCAAGAAATCGACATTCGCAACAGCTTTTCATTTCAATTACTGAATGCAAATGTTGTTATTTATACAGTTTGCTTTTTCTGGCGAAAAATAAAAATGAATTTATGACAAAACCTAAAATATTTCTGAAGGCATGTTACTGTTAATATGTTTGCTGGATAAATTGAATAGACTTAATTGAATAATTATACAATTGATGTCTATGTTGAAGTTTGGTAAATCAGAGACTTCCAGCAATCGATTATCATATAAAAGCATTTAATTTGAGCCGTGTCATGACAAAACCAACATAGTGGCATTGCGACCAGCATAGATCCAGACTAGCCTGCGCATCCGCGCAGTCTGATCAGGATCCATGCTGTTCGCTTACAAACCCTATTACAAGTAGAGAAACTGATAGCGAACAGCATGGATCCTGATCAGACTGCGCGGATGCGCAGGCTGGTCTGGATCCATGCTGGTCGCAAACCCACTATGTTGGTTTTGTCATGACGCGGCTCAAAATTATATCATTTTGTTAACCAATGAGATAAACTACAAAGGGTATTAAATCGTTTATTTCCGAAAATCAAACTAGATGCATTCATTTACACTGTTAGTACACAATTTGTAGAAATCATTCCGTTGGCGTGTATGTTATTTTTATTGAAGCTTTGAAGTGTCGAATTTATCTGATATAATATATTAAATTGTATTTTAATGAACACAAACTATAATTTGCAGTTTGTATCAAGATTACACACGAATATTCAAGTCATTTAAATATATAATGCTATGGACTAAAAACAAAATGTATAATATCACGCTCTTGTATGATATTTCATATTTATTTATAAGTCTTTGTCCAAAATGTTCAGTTACCATATTTTTATCTATCATTAATATTACTGAGGAAACAGAAAAATATCCGCATACTTATTTACATAATTTTCCTAAAAATGTTCAATTTCTTTTTTCTTCACTCATATAATTTACTGCGGAAACAGAAAAATGTACAGAGCAATGGTAATTTATAGTTTCACTTTCAAAAAATCTAGGTCAAGCGATGCTAATTTTTTCTATACTTACATTCTTGCAGGTTTACTTATCATACGTTGTAGTGAGCGAGAGAGAGAAAAGTTTGCCAGAATCTGTCTATTAGAAGGAAATTACTACAAGTGTTGCAGTTGTTTTTAACACCCTAACAATAAGCAAAAAATAAGTTTATGATAGTTCTATATATCTAACCAAAAACACATAAAATCTTATATGCTACGGATAATTATTAGTGCTAAATTTGCAAATCATCATCATCATCAACAACAACAACAACAACAACAACACAGTGATTTAGACTTGCTATTAGAAAGATTTCAAATGAGGACATGCATGCACATGTTCTATACACAAGAGAGGATTCAAACACAACAAATTCTTCCGGATGTACCGAACAGACAGATGTGTCCAGTTTATCTGGTGGTGACGTCACTTCCGCTAGCGCCTACAATCCAAAAGCATACCCGGCGCAAGGTGCTGGATATCTGGATGAGAAACGTTTTACACCCGCCGTAGGCATAAATCATGAGTTACCGAGGCAGAATACGTGCTGTTCAAGTCAGATGCAATTTGAAAATGGCGGGAAACCGTTTACAAGGCAACAGTCGGAGACATTTAGTCAGAGTCGTTGCTATGCACACGAACGTGCACCGTTGCTAGGAGATGACTTGATACGAGAAGAATGTAGAAGACTCTTCAGGTCTGAGTGCGATGAAATTATAAAACTCAAGAAAAACTACAAGAATTTAAGAAAAATGTTCATAATTCTAGCGTTTCTATGCATCGTGTTGATCATTTGTGTCATTTCTGTCCTGCCAGTTATTTTGGTTTCGTTTAAAATGGGAAACAGTCCAGATACGAATGATAAATCCTCCGGTACATTATCGACCATGACGATGGAAGAGGCCTTTAAAAACTTTATGTTCAGGGAACTTCGTTCACAAATAGCTAAAGGAATAATACGAAAACACATTTTCTGTGATAAGTGCCAGGAAAGAGGAAGAAATTCATACGATAGTAAAGGTTTTGGTGACCCAGACGAATTGGAATGTTGTCAGGAGAATGTATTTGATGACTTCACAACGTTCAAAGACACATTTACAGAGGTAGTTCATGTTAAGTTTATTAACATAATTATCTTTTCAGATTTCTAGATTAATGTACAGAATAATTTGATTTCATGACTGATATCTGTTCTAAATTAATTGCAATGCTTCAAATATGTTTTAAAAGTAAACAAAATGATTTCAATATGAATTATATTCTAAGTTTGTGTGAAACTTAACTATTTTTTATTTGTTTCACAGAAATTGCAATCATACTTCAAGGATATTCAAGACCTTGGCAACAGTAAGTCATAAGATTATCACGTTTGAAAAACTATACAACGATATTAAGTCGGAAAATCAAACACAAAGACGTGACTGTGCGATTTCTTTTATTTATATCATACATTTTCAAAGTATGAACTAGTAATGCACAGTGCATCCATATGGTGGCTGATTTGTGAAACGTCGTATTTTCGCTCAGCGGAGGGCAAGGCGAAAACACATGTCGTATTTTCGTGTTTCCGCCTGTCGCCAAGCTGAGCGAAATACGACATGGCACAAATCAGCCACCATTCATCCAGCAGCTAATGATCAATTATTCTTATTCTAGGGGTTTTTAATCTGGAAGAAGAAGTTATTCGGCTTCAACATAACGGCAATAAGTCAGAGGGAAACATTACTTCAACATCGCCGCCAGGTATCTTTGCAATTTTGCAAAACCGTGTTACCCTGAATAACAACCTATTGAATCAATTGCTAAGCCAGAAACGTTCTTCTATGCAACTAAAAGGAACAGGTATTTTGTTTTAATACTACTACTTTAAGCATTTTATTTTCAATTAGAATAGAAGATATATGTGTTTATTGATAAAATCTTATATTAAGCCATGGTCATGGTGATATGTTAAAATTCAAGCTTTTTTGTACAAGAAGACACCAGACGTGCCTCTGGACATTATTTCAGGCACAAACGAGAACCCATTTAGTACCCCCGACTCAGGTTCCCGCTTAGGCCGAAAGGGGCACCTGTTCAGGAAACCTGGAGAGTCACAAACAGTCTTGGTGTTACTAAAACTTCGTACAAAAAGTTAGCATAGAAAGAGTGTTCCCTGTTGCAAAGCTAATTTATCTAGTATTAAAACATGGCAATAATGATACTTTACGACATTTTATCAAATTAAAAGCCAATGCTACTGACATAACACTGATAAATGCAAATAAAGTAATTAATGGATCCGTGAATTGACAGATTGAAAACAGATAATGGCATATACTATAGACTACATACACATCTTTCTTTTAATTCAATCAGTATTTAAATTTAATAATCGTTATGACCTGCAGTTTATTTTTAAATATAAATCAGATTTGGAAAAATTCCACTGGATTTCGAAAAATTAAAACTGCCCGATTTTTTTCGAAAACTAACATTTAATCCCCCCCCCCCAAAAAAAAATGCAGCAATTTCATTTTATCGCTTTATGCAGATATGTTTTAGGTAATATGCCCATCTTAATATTTCTCAAAATTGATCCTATGGTCAAGCTGGTGTTAAATAGCCAATAAAAACTCCTGAGACTTATAGTCTGATTTTATTGACCTGTCAATTATGAATACATTATAGCACTTATTTAAATATTCGATCCCACTTCGTTTGTGTCCGTTTATTTTACGAGAATTAATATGGAGCATATAAATAACGTTTGGATAACTCCCACTAGCTTAATAAAGGTTCTCGTAACATCCGCAATAGCGCAGTCGGTTAAGTGATTACCTAATGCATGAGAGGTCCGAGGTTCGATCCCTTCTTTCACATTCTTTTTAGACTTATTTTTTCTTTATTTTTAAGAAATTTTGTATTAAATGGTCAAGCGCCTGCAAAATTTTCTACACGGATATGAAACACCTAAGAAACACTGAATTGTCACATTTTGTATTGTATTTTACGGTACTGAAATTACATTTATTGATTTTAATCCGACTGAATTTTCAGAATTAATTCTATTATAACAAACAGTTATAATATAACAATGTTATATACAAAAGTAATGTATTTACAAAAAAGTGCAAAACATATTAAAAACGGAACAACCATAACTTCAAAAATGTTGAAAATAGTTATGAATAAGAAAAAAACCTGGACATACTCTGTCTCGATCTTACAACACGTTGGACATTCAGATAAAATATACCCGTACCCTATTGCGCTATAACGGTCAGTGTAACTTATTCATCGAAACTAGATAAGTTTAATCACATCTTACTGCAAACCTCTCACGGAATTTACCGAACATTTATCGAATATTAATATATTCTGTGCATTGACCGTATAATCAGTATGGAATTGACAGGTTAATAAAATCAAACAATACATTGTTTATTATCTCTTAAATAAAAAATATAGGTTAATATTTTCATCTAGACCTATCGTTTCATAAAATAACCTTTGTGCAATCTTTCTATTGGCTACGTCTGTCATATGAGCTACACTGTGTTGGTGCACCGTCATGAAAGCATTTCTTTGGCATAATGTATCTTGAAAAAAAGTGGGGCTCTTTCGTTTTATTCTGAATAAAATATTGTTCTTATCATTGTAGCAAAATCCAATGCTATTGAATGGCAAGAAGATATAACAAATGGTGACATCTTTTCCACAAACAACAACGGGTTGCACGTTCAAAGTGGAGGAACATATTATTTGTACACAAATATACAGTTCAAGAAAAATAATTGCACGGATGGCGAGTGAGTATCAATTAAAACTGAGCAGTGTACTTTGATGACTATAAATTAATTGTACATAGCTTATAATCATTACCAAAGGTAATCGCAAATCGATAAAGGGGCAATAAAATTAATTTACTGTTGGTATTACTATAAAATAAATAAATAAATTAATTTATTAATGACTGGATTAATTAATTGATTAATTCAATCATTCATTAACCTTTTACAGCATGAGCATATTGTGAAAAAATGGTCGTATTCATTGAAAAGCCACCTGTTTACCCATTACTTCATGAGCATTTTGTGAAAAATGGCTGTTTTCATTGAAAAGTCTCCCGTTACAAGTTCAAATTGCTATAAAACTATAAAAAAAACTGCTTCAATACTAATCAAACTTGGCACAAATGTTGACTTGTCCATTGACTTTGTACCAACGTGCTCAGTCTTAAATTTGCTGTTACCATGGCATCGAGGGGACAACAAAATTGCCAAAAATCACTATTTTGCGTTATTTTTTTCAATCACAATTGATTTTAAAGTGCTGCAACTTCTCAGTTGATTGAGTTAGAGGCAAAGGCTTTTCAGCATTGGTTACACATTACCTTATGATTGATCTGGGGTCATTTTAGCCTCTCACACATCCAAAGTTTTCTTGGCTATACGGGAGTTTGCCGCCCCCTTCAAACCACCCAAACAGAAGGGGGCACATCCCCCTGATGTATCCTTTAGATAACGGGGCGCGCCGAAAAAAGTGGTCACATTTCTCTAAACAAAAACAAGTGCTGGTGGCCTAAATAAGGCATTTTTTCACCATTTGAGACAACAAAAAGGGTGGGGTGAAAAAGGCGATACAAGGCGTGTATATCGTGTAATGGGTTAATAGTTGAAACTGCTATGAAACTATGAAGAATGCTTTAATACTTATGAAACTTGGCACAAATCTTGACTGGGCCAAGCCTCTATAACAGCATGCTCTATCGTAAATTTCCTGTTACCATGACAACGCCAAAAATCACTATTTTGCATTGTTTTTTTATCAAACTGATTTCAAAGTGCTGCAACTTTTCAATGGATTGAGATAGAGTAAAAGGCTTTTCAGCGTTGGTTACACGTTACCTTAAGATCGACCTGAGGCCATTTTTAGCCTGTCACATGTCCAAAATGTTCTTGGCCCTAAAACAGAAGGGGGCCCAGCCCCCTTCTGGCAACTCCTTGATGTACCTTTTTGATAGGGGGTTGGGCTGAAAAAGTGCTCACAAAAAACAAAACATTTCTCAAACGAAAAACAGTGTTTGGGGCCTAAATAGGGCATTTTTTCACTGTTTGAAGCCTCAAGGTGGGGGGGGGGGTAAAGCCGCCAAAACACGTCTATATATGAGGTGAAAGGTTAATGAAATGGAAATACTTTGAAATAAATTGATAATCTGTATATCTTGTAACTATTCTTACGTCTAGATATTTTTATTTTTCAGGGTTTTTGAATATAGGATATTTAAAAACAGAGACGGATACAAGAGAATCATAGCTCATGTCAAACAGACGTGCATGGGTTTCCCGAACTCCTTTGCGATATCCTTGAATTTTCAGAAGGTCGTAGATGTACGTCAAGGGGAATCATTTTCTATGACCGTATCATCACATTCTTTGTCCCTAGACCCATGGACTCATGTTTTTGGTCTTATTGAAATTTGAGTTGTGGGGGTGGGGGGGGGGGGGGGGTTATTGCTCAACGGCCAAAATTCATAGTCATTCATTTATGAAGTCATTCATTTGTATATTCTTCATTTATAAATGCATTCATCTTTATAAATATTCATAAACTGATAAATAATTTTGTAAAATAATAATTATGTAAAATATTGTTATAAAAATGGCAGACTATTTTTTTACTAGAAATGTAATAGATCTCATTTACTATATATATTTGTGTGTACCGTTTTTTTAATTATGTATTCATTCCTTGATGCAAGTTCATCAAAAAAGGTATTTTTTTATAATCTTTATAAAAGATGTTAAAGTTCGAGAATGCCTCGTCTGTGGTCTAGATCTATATTTTTATAATTGAATTAAAGAAAATTCTTAATAAATGTTTAAAAATTGCAGCATTGATTATGCAATTGTGATGCAACATATTGCATTAAAAACTCTAAATAGATGTTTAAAAATTGCAACATTGTATGGAATGGCGATATTTTTTTCTAACATTTGTCAGGGCGTATTTTATTATTACATATTGCTCATTAAACTTTGTATATTTCTATGTTTGTGCTTAAGGATATTTTCGTATAACTAGTGTTGCTCAAAAAAACGGACGTATATATATATATGCTAAAGATTGATTAAAGGTTTAAATATCATTATGTAACAAGCAGAAAAATGTTTCATAAGAAGGGCAGGGCAGTCAGCAAGGAACATTTCGATGGACTTAAATGGCGTGGTGCTAAAAGCATAAAAAATGCAAAGAGACACTACTGTACATATGGGGCCCCGATATAGGTTGTTGAGGCAAGTTGATAACACAATTATTTGTTAATGGAATCTCTGCAAAAATGTTTAATTTAAAGGTCCTTTATGCCCCAGATATGCCTTATTACTTTTCTCAAAATTTGTTACAGTTGGTAAAATTGGTCAATCACCTGAATCGTATTTTTCTTCTGTTACTTTCTGTGAATTATTATAGTAACAGTGATTTATTACTTTGTATGGAAGTCAAAGTGCTACGTTGTTTCCATTTTGCTACTTTTATTTCACATTTGGTACAACATTTTTCAGGTTATAAGCCTCTAACATGCTCAAACACCACTATGTAAATGTTATTTGCTCATGAGGAAGAGAATTTTAATAGTTTCAGAGGCAATCTGCGCCTTTAAATGCAAATGTGCAAATATGATAAACGAAAGTATTAAAGATAATAATATTATAACACTGCATTGTAACGAGCAGATGTGAATAGAAATATCTTGTTTTATTATAGGGCAGATAATAAAATGTATGAACATACACAATATATTATATTTTTTTGTATATGATATATGATATGATATGTAAATGGCTAGATCTACGAATAAATTTTAAAAAGTTACCGCTTTTATCTTGAGTGTTTGTTTCTTTGAAATTAGTTCGTCAAGGATAGCTTAGTTGGAATAACTTGAAATAAAGAATTTTTCGCAGTTCGAAACATTAGTAAACACAATTCAAAAAAGTACAACTTTCCTTGAAAAAAATCATATTTAAAGATTCAAGTAGGATTGAGCAGTAAACACAATTGCTCATTTAACAATTTAGAATTATATTTTGGAAATTTCAATTTGTGTACAAGATAAATAAAAGTTTAGTAATAAAGCTTTGATTTTTTTATAATTTAGGCAGATGTTTATATCATTGATAAGTATTTTCCGAAAATGAAAATTATGTCAGTGTGTACTTTCATGTGCTATTTTTGTAACAAGCACACTGAATTCAAAAAGAAAAAAAAATGGAACACAGGCAGTAAACAAAAACGTTTTCTAAAATAAATATAGCTCTATCTTTTGAAATCCACAAAGACGTCTATTTGCCAGAAGTCGGAAAATGTTATCACGATTTTCATGTTATAATAGGAATTCAGGCTAATGATAAATTTCAAAAAGTAAACGAAGATTACATTTAAAATAAATCTGCAATAAGAGACCGCTTTACTTTACCAACGGACATAACCTTTATTCAACCCATTTTGAAAGACCGTATTTCTACACTGACCTAAGCTTACTTTTTAACTATACTGTATACATAAAAATGTAAACTATTCATTCCTATTAAATTCAAAACATTGTTTTTGTTACAGTCTAAGGTCAAGCTGAGTGAATATATAATCATGTCACAGTGGTGTAGTAAAATGTACGCGCGTCCGCGAAGAGACTACGATTGGCGCCTATTTAATATATTATACCTGATTCAGATGTATGGGAGATACCGACCTTAATAACTTACACACCTGCCGTTTCCCGCCCATAATCATGAAAAAGAAAATGTCTCCAGCTCAAAATCATAACTTAAATAATGAATAGCGAATTTTGTATTATTATTATTTCTAAACATTTTATCATATTTATTTTTTTAAAGGTTAGGGGTTGCAAAAACTCTTCGCTACTGAACGGTAGAAGTTAAATGCTGTATTTCCAACTTTACCGGTGGTGGAAAACCTAAGGTGCCGCCGCCCTGTGCATTATTTCCGGCACGAGCGGGCACCTAAGTAGAACCACGCACGCTTTGTAAACTATCTGCAAAGCTTCGTCACATGAACGAATCCAACGCCTAATGCGGTGAAGTATGCGGGGGTTTAGAATATGGATATGCGAGGCTGTAGTATTGGCGGCGATGTAGAATGCGGGAATGTTGTATGCATGGATGAAGTTAGTATGGAGTTCCTTCCCCTTACACTACATTATAGGTGGCGTTTTCTTAAGCACACACGGCTTATACGATTGGTCACCCGTGTAAACCGTACATACAACCGAACCAACCGTGGCGTTATCCGAGTTACACTCGGGCAATTCGAGTATATTCGTGCAAACAGTGCATGATTTTTAAAACTTTGAAAAACTGACACGGATGTCATGTCCGTGTATGATGTAAAAGCGACCGTAAAAGACCGTAGGAGACCGTATGTTACCGTATATACAACCATATTGGAAGTCCACCCCACGAGTGAGCCCAATCGTTTCAAGATAATACATAAATCGTATGGAATTGTTAGAGACCAAGACCCGATTAACACCCGAATGTAATACGGTCACGGTACGATTCACATGAGTGCACACACGGTTTCATACGATCGCCATACGACCAATACGGTTCGAGTACGAATCATACATAACAGACACGGTATAATACGGGTACACACGGTCTCGTCGAACTGTACAACGAAAACCACAACTACATGCTGCAACCCTCAACTGCTAGATAAACCCACAGTACTTCCTGCATCACACTAGAATTCATTGAAAAGAAAAAGGTCCCACGTATAGAACAAGATGGGCCATTCAGGCCTGCCGACCACTCCAACCTGCTGACCTTGCCGACTCTGATAAGCTGGATGACCCACCGGCACTACCTGAAGGGATACCCATATTTCCTAGGGATTAGGACTTGGATACCAGCTCGGTGGGCCCTCCATCGGTAGGGAGCCAGACTGGGGTTGAAGAACGCAGATGAGAAGGACGCGGGGATGTAAAATGCGGTATTGTTTAACTGGGAATGTAGAATGCGAAGATGTAGAATTCTTCGATTTAGTTTGCGGGAAAGTATGTGGGGATGTAAAACACGGGGATGTAGTATGCGGTGAATTAGGATGCGATGATGTAGGATGCTGGGATGTAGGAAGCGGATATTTAAGATGCGTGGATGTAGTATTCGATGATATGCATGTCTGAGGCACCAAACCAATAACACCTGTCCGTGTGTCCGTATGGCCTATGTCAGGAAACCTTACCCGTCCGCTTCTTGATCCTTTATTTTAGGCAGCAACACATTCATTAGCTAAGCAACATAATGCACACAATGGTCTCATTGGCCTCCTGTGTATTATTTTATTAACAAAATCTAAAACATTTGCATTTTATTTGGGCTCATTCAGTGAATTACTGAATTCCAATCAAATAGGTCTCCACTATAGCGTTAACGCACGTTTTTCGTGTTATAACGTCTGCAGAGTCCTGAGGAACGGTTGGTGCCCGAGCCCAGTAGGGCGAGGGCTCTAACAGTTCCGAGGGACTCTGCAGACTTTATAACACGAAATAAACGTGCGTTGATGCTATTATAGCATAAGATTTTTAAAAAAGATTCATGAGGTATATTTAATACAAAACACATACATTACATTCTTGTGCTTGGACGGTATTTATCCAATTCTACATGTTTTACGTATGCGTTTTATTTTTCCGGGGCCAACTACTTGGGAAATTCAAATGCTCAAAACCGTTCGAAAATTCGAATTTTAATTGATTTAAATAACAAAGCTTATCATTGGAGATTTATTAACTCAAGAAAAAGAAAAAAAAAAAACAAAAACAAAAAAAACATTCAACTACTCTGCCCAAGACAAAACATGACCCTCAGAAATTCTTAGAATGATTTCAGATTAACGGTAGAAAAAAGATCAGTGACATCAAAATCGTTTTTTTTTTTCAAGCTCACAAGTTTATAAAAGAATATCAGGCACTAAACATTATTCTCTCAAAGAAATATTAATGGCATTTATCAATATAAACATCAATAAAACAACATTTTCTCATATTCATTTTGTGTTATCTTGTTTTGTAGGTTAATTTGAGGGTTAAACTGAATGACATTTATTTGTTTACATTGACAACTGTCCGTTTCTTAGAAAGGGCGACAACCAAGATTAGCGGCGATATCTATACTCCGTATTTCCGGCATAGTTACTTGATGTCTCAACCCAATCTTCAAAGATATAAAAAAGAATTAAATAAAAAGTTTAACAGTTTCAATGACAATGTCATAAAAAAACTGAGAGGATTAAAGCATAGTGATCCTAAATCTTATTGGAGTTTATTACATAAATATTCTTCTGATAAAAAAGTGATAATAAATAAAATAACTAATGAGGTTTTCCATGAGCATTTCAGTAATTTGAATGCAGATATTTTTAAGAAATGAAAATGACGTAGATAATTTTAATGTTAACAACTTACCAATGTTTAATGAGGCACTGAATTCGCAGTTTACAGAGCAAGAAATAGATAAGGCTATAAAGACGCTTAAGAATAATAAAAGTCCATCTATATTTGATAATATTATTAATGAGTATCTCAAAAATGCTCCTGATAATCTGCTGGCTGTACTTACGCTATTTTTTAACATTATATTAGACTCTGGTATCTTTCCGGATGTGTGGAGCAAGGGAGTTATCTTACCATTGTATAAAAATAAAGGGGATGTTAATGATCCGGATAATTACAGGGGCATAACAATACTCAGTTGCTTTGGAAAACTTTTCACTTCGGTACTTAATAACAGATTAAATGACTTCTTGGAATCAAACAACATTCTATGTGAAGAACAAGCAGGTTTCAGGAAGCATTATAGTACTGTTGATCACATATTTTCATTAAAACTTCTAGTGGACGTATATCTAGCACATGGAAAAAAATTGTATTGTGCATTTGTAGATTATCGCAAGGCCTTTGATTCTGTAAATCGCACTGCCATGTGGCATAAATTATTAAGTTACAATATTGATGGGAAATGCTTTAAAATAATACACAATATGTATGACAAAGCTAAGTCATGTGTTAGTTCGAATAATACAATTTCAGATTTTTTCACTAGTCATACTGGAGTAAGACAAGGTGAAAACTTATCTCCAATATTGTTTTCTCTTTTCTTGAATGATCTAACTAATTTTATGTCTGATAAATATGAAGGTTTGCAGTTTCTAAAAGAACATATAAATGATATGTTAAGTGATGATGAAATGGAAGTTTATCTTAAACTGTATTTACTATTGTATGCGGATGACACTGTAATATTGTCAGAGAGCTCTCAGCAGCTTCAGTTAGCATTAAACGCTATGTCTGACTACTGCAAGCTTTGGAATCTTGAAGTAAATACAAATAAAACCAAAGTTATTATATTTTGGAAAACCAAGAGAGGTTTGCGTAATATGCCTAACTTTCACTATGAGGGGACTGTCCTTGAAATTGTTGAGCATTTCTCATATTTAGGTGTCCAATTTTCATTTAATGGTAAATTCAGCAGAACTAAAACATTCCTTATTGATCAAGCCCGTAAAGCCATGTTTTCTGTAATTAGGAAATCTAGGATACTTAATTTACCAATAGATATGCAATTACACTTGTTTGATACAATGATAGCACCCATTTTGTTGTATGGGTGTGAAGTTTGGGGTGTTGAAGATGTGAGTGTTGTGGATAAATTTCAATTAAAATACCTAAAGATAATTCTACAGTTGAAACAGAGTACTCCAAATGCTATGATTTATGGGGAGTTGGGTATTACCCCACTTTCAACACAAATTAAAAGTAGAGTTCTCAATTACTGGGGTAAAATAGTTAATTCTAAACATGATAAGATAGTCAGCATTCTATATAGAACAACTCATAATTTATATACTCTGAATAATATTAAATCAGATTGGGTCTGTTTTGTTCGAAATAATTTAAATGATCTTGGATTGTCGCATTTTTGGATAAATCAAAATGTGGAATCTCCTGCTTCATTCAAGAATACTGTTAACTTAAGATCATTTTATGCAAAATTGGAGAAGTACAATTAATAATTCCAGTAAATGTCTAAATTACAGGATTTATAAACAGGATTTTTGTTTTGAGCCATACCTCAGCAAGTTACCTATGAATTTAGCTTTAATTCTCTTTAAATTTAGAAGTATGAATCACAAACTTCCTATTGAAAAAGGAAAGTTTGATGATATTCCAAGAGAACTTAGAACTTGTAACCTATGTACCAGTAACTCTTTAAGCGACGAATTCCATTATCTTTTTGAATGTTCACATTTAGTCAATACAAGAAAGCTGTATCTTGATAAATATTTCTATGAACGTCCAAGTGCTTTAAAATCTGAAAAATTAATGAACCATAGTAATAAAGATATCCTTTTGAAACTTGCCATATTTTGCAAAAATATTATGTTATTATTTAAATAATGTTAGCTTATTAAATTATGTATTTTCTCTTTGTTTTTTTCTCGCAATGATTTTTGATTTTTCTCTCTCATCCTCCATTATCAGTCAATTATTACAGTAATTTTATTACATCATGGAGTTGTATGACCATTTATAATTTGCAATTTTGTAGTATTTTGTTTTTACATATTATTTGCCATTTTGTATTATTTTGTATGTATGTACTGTTTTATGTTGTCACATGCCCATATGGGCCCTGACGTATTCAAATAAACCTTGAAACCTTGAAACCTTCACACAGTGATCTCCCCTTAATTCTTCGGCGTAGGTCTCTGCCACCAAGGTCCCGATATAAGTGTAATTATAAAAGGAAGTAACCGCTGTAAGGAGTTTGGTCTCAACCCGGTACGGAATAAGACTCAACCCGTTGTAGTCTAGAAAGTAAATCTTTAAAAGAGGCCCAATTTAAGTCATCTCTAGTTAGATTGGTCATAATTAAAGTGTATTTATTGCATGTGTGTAGTTTTTGTGTGTCATATGATGAGTTTAAAAGTTGTTTTTTTGTGTATTCTCCAGGAACTCATTTGTTGGCGGAAGGATTAAAGATGTATCACCCACCAGCAGTAAACTGTGTTACAACAGAATGAAGATTTCTGAAAAAAAAAATAGATGGCTAACCTATTATATTTTGGGCCTCATTTGACTTAGATAGTGTTGATGTTTAAAGTTGAATACAGCATATAATTCATTAAGAACAGTTGAATCCAGAATTAAGCCTGAAATGTGACTGATTTACTATAGAACAAATAGTACGAAAATTCAACAGGCCGACACCTTGAATGCTGCTCGCCGTTATGCGATAGAGGTCCTCGAATCAATTATTTCAATATAACACTTTGGCAAACAGGCCAAATCGTCATTTTTTTGTTTGTTTACTTGGCCCTGTATGTATTGCGCATAGGTAAAACCGGGCTATAACAAGAGCGCGTGACTATGTTAACACATGGTTTTGGTCCCGTTATAACATGGGCAAAACAGGGAAAAATAGCCGATTTTATGCCATAATTTAGATTATAACATACTTTAAGGGCATGACTGGTGACATGTTCGGGGTCCGTACTCTTAGTGCCTGGAAGGGCGGATGGACCCTCATTAAGCACAAACTACATACATACATATTCGGAGATGTAAAATGCGGGGATGTAGGATGCGGGCATGCAGAATACATTATCTCTATATTAGAAGCTCGGCTTATTATTTTTAAGTTTGAATTTTATAATAATTTTTATAGTGCTATTTAGTAGTATATCAAAATTAATCATTGTATTGAAATATAGAATGACTGGACACATTTTTGATTCGTCTTATCGCTTACCTGGGTCGTAAAAATAGATAAATATGTGATTGTAAACATAGCTATGCAAATGAAATCATACAATATTAAACCAGCTTATCAGAAGTGAGTGACTTAGCTGTTCTTAATTGTGTATACGATCGAAGTCTGACCTGTACATTTATTTTAAATCCGCCAGAAAGTACATGCTATTGATTATTACAAAAATAGAGCAGATAAACAAAACAAATTTACACTGCTTTTGACAGATAAGTTTTGTTCTGTGCAGAAATCGTAGACTGAAAAAAAGATAAATAAATATAGCTATGTGATAAAAATAATAATAAGATAAAAAATCAAGAATAAAAAAGATAACAATATAAACAAACAACAAACGTAAACAAACAAATGAAACCTGTGACGGGCGTAGATTGCTTAGCAAAATTTAATAATTTTAATCTAAAAACAGCACATTGTTTGATAAAAAGGCATATATTTAGATATAACATTCAACTTCTATCATAATATACAATGTGATATGTAAAAACGAATAGCTGATAGTATTGTATTCTCACTCTCGCTATCTACATTATTATCGCGATGAGCCAGTGTGTTCAAATCAGTTATGTTGACTTCTATTCTGTTCTGTTCAATTGTGTCGCAAGGCATTATTATTAATATTATTGATTGTGTTATTCGTCAAATAAAAGTGACATTTAGGCGATTCAAAATTACATTTAGTCAAGTCTTGAATAAAATAACAATAAAATACAAAGTGACCGATATACAAATGTAATATAGTATTATGTTATTAATAAACAGAGTGGTATTTTGTGATGCATTATCTCTCTAGCCAGGTATAAAAACAACAACAACAACAACAACAACAACAACAGTAAAACTCTTGCTTCTCAATGTGGAATCTGTATTCGTATTCGGACCTTTCGTTGAATCGTGCGCCACATTTTTAAAATGAGCTGTATTTGAAGTAGATGTTACGTTGCTTTTTGTCGGATAGAACTCCTCATTAATCTGATAATAGCTGTCATGCATTCATTGAAATAAATACACATGATGACAAGATATAACGTTTCGATACAATATCAACCTGGTTTTCTGTTTGTCTGACAATTATTTATTATCCGTATTCCCGCCTGTTTCTATGTGTCTATTCGATTAGATAACTGTTTGTATCTCTGCTTGTCTACATGGTGGTATAAGCCCGTCTCTCTCTGTCTGCCATTGCGTAAAGCTATGGCATTTTAGATTGATAATTCTGAGATATTCTTAGTTTTATGTCAACATATGTCTATTTGGGTTTTTATTGTCTGCCCGTCTGCTATAAGTCATGAATTAGATTGCTACTAATCCTTTAAACGTATTAAAATCACGGCCACGATAACTACTACCTTTTGATAACGTGAGTTACTCCTTTTATAGGGCTGAATACATTCGTTAAATTTGTTTATTTGTACGTACTTCTTTGTGTGAAAATTCTGTATTTTAGGCCTACGTTTATTACATTTACTTTTTTTTATATTATTATCTTAATGAATGAATTAAACACCCAGAAAGTACGCACGCACGCACACGCACATACACTTTATGTGTGGCATACATCTGTTATACGTTTTTTCGCAAATCGTTATTAAAATGTTATTATATAGGAATTAACATATTAAGAAACATAGGAAATAACATAATACTTCATGTAATTGATTAATTCCCATGTCATTTTGATTTATTATACATGCGCATAGAAATAATTTGAGTAATATGATCATAATGAGCATAGTTATTAATAGCATAAAATATTTTATCGTTAAAGCACAGTTAATTGGTAAAACAATGGTTTCGTTGACCTCCCGTGCATCTAAATACTCATCACAAAGTTCGGCTTAGTGTTTTTTAGTGTATCACTGAATTCAAAATTTATAAGTCACCGTTTGGCAGATTATAACCTGTGAGGGTATGAATGGTGACATGTCCGGGGTCTGTACTCTCATTTAGCCTAAAATACGTACATACAATTGTTAAAACACGAAATTAAAGGCACAAAAAACGTGGCTATAAATCACGTCGCCATATTATCATTATCACGAAGTGTTTACTATTCATTCAATTATTTTTTTATGCAATAGATCTACTACTAACTGATTCTATATATGGACTGTTCGGACAAAGGTTCTGTATCAAATAGAAGGAGGTACAGTTTTGGGGAAACCTTTTGCTTCAAGTGCGCATTTCCAAAGTTTCAAGACGACAATTCAGTTTCAGATCAAAGTTTCGAGACGACAAACATGTACAAAATGGACGAACCTGAACAAACCAATATAAACAACGTTATGTCTTTGCATATTTAATAATCGTCATTGCTAGATTTTATTCGTTATTAAAATATAGATATCAGAAACACCAGACCGGTGTGCATATATATAAAAGTGAAAGTCAAGAATTACTTAATAGTCAATTCCTTTCAGGGGTTTTATCACACTCTGACTGTCTTAATGCTTTTAAGAACATTTTTAAATAGCAGTATATCAACTGTATTGTTTTGGCATAGTGAAATATAATCTGCGATAATGTATGTAAGAAATCTTTGTTCCGCCGCACTTTGGGGTCAAACGAACATGGGGGTCAAAAACGCAAATTAAACCACACATGGACATTGGGTTCCAAAGTTCTGAAAGTGCCAACCGTGTTCTGCCTAAAAAACTGAACAGGCTTAATCAAAACAAGCCTGCAAAATTTTCAGTTTTGTGCGTCCATTAGGGATTATTTATGTCTCTCTATCTTATGCATATCGAATGTCGATATATAAATACAAAATGTTCATTTCCACTGTCGAACTTTGCGCTATGGATACCGAATGCCCACCCCCTTTCGAACAACAAACGTGGCTCTTCAGCTTGTAGCTTATTGCCTATAGTTTCAATTCAAGAATTGGTAAGTGCTCAAATGTCTGGCTTTAAAGTGTATAAAGCTATATATCTCATTTCTGTTTGAATTTAAAAAAAGTATACTTCACAATTGCTTGTATGAAGTAAATATGGTTATTTATTGCCTTTATGCACAAAATCATTGATAAATAGATAAAAACGCTTTTTTAAATAGCAAAATAATATTTTGTTTCAGATTTTATTCTGTCTACGAACATCATTCATGTGTATTAAATAACATTACAACTTTTTTGGGATCTACCATTGAATTATGGAACCAATATAATTTTACTGTTGATAAATCTTATTAAATATTTGATACGATATACATTTATACCTAGGCTTTAAGAACTTTTTATTACTAGAATTCATTTTATTGATTTAATTCAATGACCCTTAATACCGGTCGTTTAACTGATGTTAAGATACTGAGCATAATTATGTACCTTTTAAGGTAAATTTACCCCTAAGTACGTGTTTGACTAGCTTGGACCCCAAAGTACGCCATGCACTCCAAAGTCATGGACCCCAAAGTTTGACTGACCCTTATGTGCTGTGTTACAAAGCTCTATTGCATCTCAAACGTTTTGTTAAGTATAAACAATTAACGAAAAATGACGAAAAAAGTTTTGTATGGTGCCAAGGAAAATCATGTCTTGTATACAATATCTACAAAATAGGTTTTTTAACCAACAAGCCTCGGATCAGTCAAAAATAATTGCTACACGTAGAAATATAAGACACGATATTAACAGCTCAAATAAAGGCATCCGTGTTTTAGAAGATTTATTGCAGTAGTCGGAATCGCACGCACACACTGTTATGTGGTTTCCTTCTGTATCACACTTTGTTATCAGACTGACATCTGAACAACCTTTTGAAATTACTGAAAAAATAAATGAACATAATGAAAATTCAGCAGATATTGTAGTAATTATTCAGATAAATATAGTCAAAAATAGGAAAAAGCACCCAAAATTGAAACAAGAAATGGTCGCTTTTGATTGATTTTTGTATTCATATTTAAATCGTTATTTATATCACTGCAATGGAAACTAGATCGTTGTCTTCAAAATAAATCAAAACGGTCTAAGCCGACAAATAAGTTTGATATGAAGTTAAACAAAATCAAGTAAGCACTTTTTATGCTTGTTTTAATATACCCGAGTTGTGAACTTGTGACAGGGTAAAACCTCTCTAACAGGGACTGCAATTCCGTTTATCAACTAAAGTACTTGAAATATATAGCAATTTGTATTAACTTATTTACTTATACATCATTATGAAAATGAGTGACTTACCGTTATACTTTACAGATTTAACACAAGAGCCTGGACAGGAATGAATTGTCGGGTGAGTGTCGGGTTCGGGACATCGTTGACAATGCATACATTGTATTGACTCTATAAATAGTACATAAAAATGTAATTCAAGATATTTTTATCTATTTACCTCCAACAGTTCATAATCAGTTTCTTTATCAAAAAGTGTAACTCATTTAGATTAATAATATCTGTCATATGTTGTGTTTCGGACCGGAATATCCGTCCCGAGGGGACCCGCCATGAGTCTTGCCGAGTTACCGCCTGTGGGCGGGTTCCCGAGGGGCGGATATTCCGATCCGAACCGCAAACATATGTCAGATATTTTTTCTCGCATATTCTGCCATATTATTTCATATTTAAAATGGTTTACCTCAATATGATATATGTTCATGGAAATAAAAGTCATTTCATCCATAACTATTTTCTTACAATAGCGTGTGAACTTACAACTTAAATTACAACGGCGAAATTACATCATCCTAAGCAGACATTTCCCTTCTTAAACGACGTCAAAATTTTTAACACGGATCATTCATAAAGTGAGCTAAAATAACGTTGTTGTTTGGCACGCGATTCATCTGGCATCCCCCATGCCAGATGAAATTTCCGGCATGGGTAAAACTCACGGAAACGCCAGTCTGCTATGCAAGAAAAGTTAAGACAATTATGGTAAAACAGTCATTGTTTATGACAGAACGATGCATAAACAGTTATGAAAATCTATCAAAATGTTCATAACATAACAATACGATTTTGAATCGAAAATGTTTAATTTACTTAGTATCAATGTTTAGAAAAAAATTGATAAAATAAAGGCTCGGCAAAATCCAGTTTCTGTTTTATTAACTACTCTTTCAGTAGGACTCACAAGTTAATAAATTAATGATGACTATTTCTATAGGATAGTCTCTGTTATTTGTGGAACAACTTATACCTTGCCCTTTTGATGACGCGGGTACTGTAGTTACATCGAATCCTTTTGATGTTGGCGTCGAATGGTCAAGCAATGGAAGAAATGAAAAAGACATACAAAAAATAGCTGTTAAAGGGCAATCGGTAGCATTATCTTATAAATCTAAATCGGTAAGATGTCGGTCATTATCTGTGTGCCTTATAAGCAGCAGTTTTGTGGATATTTTCCACAATTGAAGTGGATTTGATCTTGGTGTCTTAGTTGGGTACATGGAACACTGAATCGAGCAGTATTATAAATGGGCAGAGTAGTTTTCTTAGTCATAGCCTAATAGATCTAGATCTACAAAACATTATTGTCGAGAAAAGTTTAATTTCAAATTATTTTTGTACAATGATTGATGAAATGAACATAAGGCATTATTTAGCCTAATTTAAAGAAGTATTCTCTACACCGTTGACATTTGACTGTGATGATCCATGGATCTACCGCCCAGCTATTAATTTAGCTATGTCCTAATCTCGCTATAATGTTAAATTATTCGCGGTGTTTTAGTTATGTTGTTGATGATGATGATGATTATGATTGTGATGAAAACCTTACATTATTTTTAGAGGGATCTATGATAAATATTATAAATAATCTAGCTACAAGTATGTGCACTTTCGCTATTTTCGACGGCAAGCAATAAACTTGTTAACTGGTGCAAATTTTTCTTTACGATTTCTGAAATAACCTTAAGCTATAGTGACTCATTCCCAACAACGATTGATAGAAAGATCTTTTGAACACCTTCTTGTATTTTGGAAAATTTTGGTGTTAAACATTTCCACAATGTCAATAATGTACTCAAGGTATTACTTTCCGTTGTTTATTAAAGGAAAATCATTCAAAACAGTTTTGTCTTGGCTTTGGTATAATACCCAACTTTGGTTCCTGTTTATATAGAATAAGTAACATCAATCGGAACACCTCAACTATTATATAGGGTTAACGCACGTTTTTCCGTGTTATAACGTCTGCAGGGTCCCGAGGAACGGTTGGTGCCCGAGCCCGGTAGGGCGAGGGCTCCAACAGTTTCGAGGGACTCTGCAGACTTTATAACACGAAATAAACGTGCGTTGACGCTATTATAGCATAACATTTTAAAACAGATTCATGATGTCTATTCAATACAAAACACATACATTAAATCCTCTTGCTTTGACGGTATTTATCCAATTCTACATGTTTTACGTATGCGTTTTATTTTTCCGGGCCAATATTTTGGGAAATACAAATGCTCAGAACCGAAGGAAATTTCAAATTTTAATTGATTTAACAAAGCTTAACATTGCAGATTTATTAACTCAATAAATCAACATTAAATTACTCTACCCAAGACAAAACATGACCCTCAGAAATCTTTAGAATTATTTCAGATTGACGGTAGAAAAAAAAATCAGTGACATCAGAGTCGTTTTTTTTTCAAGCACACAAGTTTATAAAAAACAACAAAAAAAAAACAACAAAAAAAAAACAAAAAACAAACAAACAAAAAACAGACAGTACTGTATAGTAAATATTATTCTCTCAAAAAAATATAAAGAGCATTTATCAATATAAACATCAATAAAACAACATTTTCTCACATTCATTTTGTGTTTTCTTGTTTTGTAAGTTTAATCGGAGGGTGAAACTGAATGACATATATTTGTTTACATTGACAACGGGCCGTTTCTTAGAAAGGGCGACAACCAAGAATCGCGGCAATGTCTATACGCCGTATTTCCGGCAAAGTTACTTGAATGCTGCCCGCCGTTATGCGAGTGAGGCCCTCGAATCAATAATTTCAATATATAACAAGAGCGCATGACTGGCAAACAAGGCCAAATCGTCAATTTTTTGTTTACTGGCACGGGGGAGGAAGTGTTACACGAGGGATGGAGTTCTTATAATAACTTGTCAAGGAGTTTTTGTGATAACTGTCACGGAGTTCGTTGGAAAACTATTGTATATACTGCAAAACACTCGCCAAAAATGGTAATTTTCATCGTTAAAAAGTGAGTTTAAGGTACTTAATTAATCTTTAATGATTAAGCTTGCCTTGTATATTGCATTATGTGTCAAAAACTAATTCATAGTCCATTATTCATCGCCTCATGCTTAAAATCTGGTAGTTTAGAGTAAAATTTCCAAATCATTTTCCCTTTCGCAAGTATTGGCCTGTTTATTTCAAGTCTTCATCCTTGCCATACAAAATTACCTAATGATAATGCAAAATTCAAAACATAAAGCCCCGGCTAACAAATTTATACCCGATTTTTCAAATGTTCTAGAGTTCTTGTGATAACTCAAAATATGTCCTGGAGCTCTTATGATAACTTTTGTTACTGCCAATGTGTTTCTTGTGCTAAATCAAGGCACGTTTTAGCGTTTTTTATTATTCAGTAAGGTTGTAAATCATTACGAAATGTAGAACGCTCATTTTTACATGCCATACTCGTTTCTGCTTCCCAGAACTAATTTCGCGCTACAGTGTCATTGTTGTTGCTCATTTATTTGTGAAAAATTGACTTTTTTTATGAATGAAGAATTGAAAGAATAGAATTGTTTGAAGAGCATTGATCAATTATTATCTAGAACATACTGTTCCAAAAATTTATATAGTTTGTTCCATTTGCTTGTTTTTATTTGGTGTCATTTGTTTGAAGGAACAAGAAATGTTTTACAAGATTTTTGTATAACTAGGTTTATGTCTATACCAATAACTGATGTACAAAATTTAAGATTATTCGTTCACTCCGTTTCCCAGAAAAAATCAATTTTATTGTGCAAATTGGCCCGAATGAAATAAAACCGTTTTCACTCATATCGGACAAAAAACGCATAAAATCGATTATCAATTCAATACCGTGTATATTTATATTATCATCTATTGCTTGGTTTCAAATTTAAGTGTACCAGTTGCTTTCAGAAAGAATTTCAAAATTTATTATTTTAGGCTATTAGACCTCAGTGGAGTTCCTTTAAAATTGTTTTGTTGTTGTATATAGCTATGGTAATATCAGCATATAAAACCAGTCTCATGACATATATTTCACCGAAATAATATCAGATCACCTTATCAAATATAAACGAAAAAAAAATCGTTTCTAAACGTATCTTAAATTAAGGGGTAATGTTAAAAAAGCATAAAGACAAAATAATCAAGAATTAAAATATAAAAATTAGATATCATATCAAAAAAAGTTTCTTTTGAATACTTACCACTGTTAACAGATGAAATAAAACCCAAAACGAACACTAAAAGTAAATATTTCATTTTAGAAGATATAGTTTCAGAAACCTCCTGAATAAAATGACATAACAATCTAAAATAACTAAGTTTTTAAATTAATCAGTTGAAAGATAAAGAAGGTGATTTCCATACGTTGTAAATGTAATAATATTGGAAAACTGTACACATAACAGCTGGATAGGGCAAAACATTTGGACGTCAAGCAGTTCGATTAGATCAAATTTATAAATGATCACATACGTTTGCTGATAAGAGACCATGAAAAGTTGTTTTTTTTTGTATATAAAAGTAAGCACAGGAAAACCCAACTTCAGAAATGACAAAATATTACTGATAACAAAGGAGAGTAAGGGAAGTTAAAATGTATAAAGTATAAATTGTTGTATCTGCAATGAAGTCATTAGTTTGTCATATACGGTCGTCATCAAAACTACATAAAAGAAATGTAGATGTTGCTTTTTGTCGGCGAGAAATCCTCATTAATCTGATTTTAGCTGTCATGCATTATTCATTATAATAAATACACACGATGCCAAGATAAAGTTTCGATAAATATATACCTTTTTCTGTTTGTCTGACAATAATTTATTATCCCGCTTCTATGTATCTATTCGATTAGAATACAGTTTGTTTCTCTCTTCTTCTCTACCTGGCTGTATAATTCCGTTTCTCTGTGTCTATCATGGCATTTTAGGTTGATCTTCTTAGTGTTATGTCAACATATGTATATTTGGGTTATCCCCTTTCAAAATTCCATTTTGTACTTCAAATAGCATAATATAAAAATTGACATAATAAAAAAAAATAAGTTATAACATCATACGTCATGTAATCGAAAAATTTCCACGTACTTTTGATTTATTACACGTGCGCATAGAAATAATTTGATTAATACGATCATAATAAACATAATTATTAACATCATAAAATGTCTAATTTTCAAAATTATAGCACAATTAGGTCTTATTTGCCTCCCGTGTAAACATCACAAAAATCGACTAGCATACACATGTAGCATCATTCAGTGAATTAATGAATTCATAATATATAAGTCATCTTTTGACAGATCAAAGGCATGAATGGTGACTGATCCGGGGTCCGTACTCTCAATGCCTACAAAGGCGGTTGGACAGTCATACATATAATAGATAAAGACGGGCATCAGAGAGAAAAGGAACGCTGCTATAAACCACGTGCCTTAAACATCCTTACATGTTTCTATTATCACCAAGTATTTACTGTTCATTCTGGAAAGCCATGGCTGTCTGATATTGTTCTTTTTCAATTTATGTAACCATTTGGATAATATATAAGTTCACTTCGACTATATATGAATTGAAAACACCGTCTTATTTAACCGGAATACATTATATTAATCCACAGTTACGAATATTGAAACCATACGTCAGTGTAATGAAACCGGTTTAGCAGTATATAGTTGGATTTTTCTCATATATATGACTTTCCAATTTCTTCAATATATGGTACAAAAGTAACAATGTTGGAAACCAGAGGGTCATTATATGAAACCGAATTATCCAATATATATAATTCATTTTTCAATATATTTGAAACCCATATGTTTCAATTTATGGAAACCAAAGTAGAATATATAAGTTGGTTATTACTTATATGATACCAATTCTTCAATACTATCGGTACACAAAGTAGCCATATAACTGGAAAACCAGATGTCCTGATATGGAAACCAAATTATCAATATATTAATTCATTTTTACCAATATATGAAACCAATTTATCAATGTATGGAACCAAAGTAGCAATATTATGAGTTGGTTATTACATTTATATGATACTCAATTCTTCAATATATGGTACCCAAAATAGCCATATATGGAACCAGATGTCCTGATATGAAACCGTAATTATCAATATATTAATTCATTTTTACAATATATAAAACCAATTTATCAATGTATGGAACCAAAGTAGCAATATATGACTTGAATATTACTTTATATGATACCAGTTATTCAATATATGGTACCAAAGAAGCCATATATGGAACCAGATGCCCTTATATGAAACCGAATTATCAATATATTATGTCATAAATTCATTTGTACAATATATGAAACCATTTTATTAATGTATGGAACCAAAGTAGCAGTATATAAGTTGATGTTACATCCTGTGATAGCAATTTTTCTTATATGGAACCAAAATAGCCTATTTTCAAGTCAAAAAGTCAAAGGCCGAGGTCACTGTGTACTGTTATTACAATGCATGCACTTTTTCATAAAATCACTTATTATTTGACGGGTTATTTTTAATCTTTGTGAGTAGATTAACCTTGTTGTGTCCTACTGGCCATGCCCATTTTTGATCAAAGGTAATGGTCTAGATGAACTTATTTTTGAATATTGTTTTGTTAATGGTCAGTACGACTCAGTAGCTTAAATTATGACATACAACTCGATACATATATAACGAAAAGTTTTGCCTGCGCAGCCCATTTTAAGTGAGTGTGACGTTAAATTCAAATATTTCCTTATTTAGAAAATGTTGCAGTATGCAATCAGTGAAGCTCGCTGTGTCTTTTGACAGCTTCAACAAGGAATCTTGGCGGCGAAACTGTAATACCGGTGCAAGGATAGAATACAGCCTTTAAAAAAGTCCCGTCAATATAATGACATTTTGGTTCCATATATTGCTACTTTGGTATCCATATATTGAAGAACTTGTATCATATAATGTGAAAATCAACATATATATTGCTACTTCGGTTACATACATTGATAAACTGGTTTCATATATTGTAAAATTGATTTAATATATTGATAATTTGGTTTCATATAAGGACACCTGGCTCCATTCATTGCTACTTTGGTTCCATACATTGATAAAATGGTTTCATATATTGTAAAAATGAATTAATATATTGATATTTCGGTTTCATATAAGGGCATCTGGTTCCATACATGACTTACTTGGATCCATATATTGAAGATCTGGTATCATATAATGTGATAATCAACTTACATATTGATACTTCGGCTCCATACATTGATAAAATGGTTTCATATATTGTAAAAAATGAATTAATATATTGATAATTCGGTTTCCTATAAGGACATCTGGTTCCATACATTGCTACTTTGGTACCATATATTGAAGACCTGGTATCATATAATGTGATAATCAACTAATATATTGATACTTTGGTTCAATACATGGATGAAATGGTTTCATATATTGTAAAAATGAATTAATATATTGATAATTTGGTTTCATATAAGGACCTCTGGTTCCATACATTGTTACTTTTGTACCATATATTGAAGAATTGTATTGAAAAAATCAACTTATATATTGCTAACTTGGTTTCATACACTGACGGTATGGTTTCATATATTGTAAATGTGGATTAATATAATGGATTCCGGTTAAATAAGAAGGTGTTTTCAAGTCATATATAGTCGAAGTGAACTTATATATTATCCAAATGGTTAAATAAATTGAAAAAAGAACAATATCAGACAGCCATGGCTTTCCATAATATGATTCTTTTCATCCTTTTTCGTTCACTTGGACGCAACAGATCTACTACCATCTTTTCCTAAAGATATAGATTGTTCGGTCAAATTAAGGGTCTGTTTATAAACAGTTACAAGGAAATCAATCGCTTGAAGTATCTAAGTATGTATTCCTAAAAATCCAAGACGACCATCATAATTATACAAATGGGCGGACCTGACCAAACAAATATAGACAACGTTATTGCATATTAAATAGTCATCATTGTTAGATTCGGTATTGAAGTATAAATATCAAAAACAACAGAATGATGTATACGTTGAAAGACAAGAATTACTTAATTATAGTCATTTCCTTTCAGGGATTTCCATCATCACATTAACTGTCTTAATGCTTTTAAGAAAAATCGTAATAAGCAATATAGCAGCTTTATTTGTTTGTTATATATACAGCGAAATATAAACTTCCACAGTGTATGTTTGTTACGCCGCACTTTTAGGGTCAAACGAACCTTGGGTCAAAATCGTGAAATGAATTACAAAGTGCGTTAATATGCTACATATTAACACACATTAACACACATTAACACACATAGGTTCCAAAGTTCTGAAGGGGTCAACTAATTCTGCTTTAATACTGAGTTCCAACTTATTTTTTATACTGCAACTTTGAAATATCTAAGGTGATAAAAATGCAATAAATTAATGTTACTTAGTCGCCTTTAAATTCTGATATAGCGGAAATATTATATTTATGAATAAATTGAACTATGGATACCGAATGTCGAACTGCACGGCAAACCGATTGTCAATCTTTGCATTCCGAATGTCGATTAAACCGTTGCTAGGGGGCGTGGACGGTAACTTTCACTTTCAAATACCGTCCATGAACAAGCTCAATCAAACTGTCCATTTTTTGCACATCGAATTTATAAAAATAAAAAATATCACGATATTCATTTCGAATGTTGGACAATGCATCTCGAGTATCGAGCTATGGATACCGAATGTCAAACACGGTACGTATTCGAAAAAAAAGAAAGGATATGCAAACCGATTGTGCTTCCCCCACCAACAACAAATGTAGCTCTTTAGCGTGTACTAGTTCGTTACCTATAGTGGCAATTAATTGCAACGTAAAGGAATTGGTAAGTGCTCCAATATATGGCTTTAAGATCTTCTTATCAATGATCATTCACTTTTATTGACTAATTTTGTTGTCCCAAAATGTTTGTAGTTTGACTGATTTTAAAACTAAATATGTATTTGTGTAAAGCTGTTTGGGGTCAGAATGTGTCCCCAAAGTGCGTGTTTGACCGGACAGGACTACAAAGTACGTACATTACTTTGAAATCGGACCTCAAAGTGTATTTGACCCTAAGTGCTTTGTAACAAAGCTCTAAACATTTTGTACAGAACAAATAATTAAAGAAAGAAAATGCGAAAAAAAAACAAAAAAACACGTTCATCTGGCAATTAGAATAAATCGACTTCAAGTCTGGTATAAATTGAACCAAAAGGTCATGTAACCCATAATGCTCGGATCAGTTTATAACTGCTACAAGTAGAAATATAATACAAGATGTAAACAGCCCATATAAAGTCATCCGTGTTTCAGAAGATCTGTTACATTTGTCTGAATCGCACGCACACACTGTAAGATCGCCTTGTCGTTCACATTTTGATATCAGACTGATATTTGAACAACCTTTTGTAATTTCTGAAATATAAATGACCATAGTAAATGTTCTGCAGATATTACACAAATACCTTTTTAAAATACGACATTTCAATTGTAAGGGAAGTTGCATTTCGCGCATGCGTTCTGTGTAGGGCAAAAACAAAAAAACAAAACAAAAAAACAAAAAAGAATATATTTTATCAGTATCACTTTCAAACAATTTAATGTGACCTGAAAAATAAACCATTAGTTTAGAACAGTTTATTTTGACAAATAACCGGTAAAGGTGTAAGAAGGTCTCCTAGTGGCATTATTAAAGTACTGCTCTTTTAAATTAGAGGCCATAAAATCGAAGTTTATTGGCAATGCTATCTTTCTATTCCTATACATAAACGCTTGATTAAGTTAAATAAAACAAGCTATGTCACCTGAAAACATTAATTTTGGGATGACTTAAAGCTCTTAATACGTAAAACGATAATTTATATAGAACATATGTGAGAACGTATGCGGGACTAATAATTCAATGGTCAAAAAGCGCATGCACAATTCCTCTGTTTAAAGTATCATTAGACGACATTTTCATAAGTAATTTAAATTGAAAAACGTTAAAGATAACTTTTTTTACTCCTTATTTTACATAATATTTCACAATAATTATTGGTACTGGTTATGTGGATTGTCAAGGCGGTAGATAAATGTAGTATTTTGTGTATTCTCCATGACCTCATTTGTTGGCAGAATGATTAAAGGTGTACTACCCGCCAGCAGTCGAGAGATTTTTAAAAAGGTTGAAATTCAACAGTGCTATAACAGAATAAAGAGATCTGAAAGATAGAACATGATATTTTGGGGTTCATTTGACTTAGATAGTGCTGATGTTTAAAGTCGGAGACAGTACATAATTCATGAATAACAATGGTCTCAAGAATTAAGCCTCAAATGTGATTAATTTACTATAGAACATCTAGTACGAAATTTCAGTGGGCCGAGACCAAGATCTGGAATGAGACAAATGGAATTTCCCAGGAAATACTTAATCGATATGAATCGAATTTCATCTTATTATTGTGTTTGGGGGTAGGAAACAGGATAAATAAGGAAAACTGACAGGTTTAAATATTTTGAATTTTATTTTGAAATTTAAATTTTGACTTTTCAAATTGGAACAAATGTTGTTATTGTTATCTCTCCTTCAAATTTAGATGTCTGTCAATCTGTCAATGAGCAGGGAGAATGGTTCAGAACTTTGCATGTACTATTAATTACATTTTGTTGGTTTAAAATACTTGGAAAATAAATTTGAAAATAGAAACATGAAATTCAGTTTATAAACTGATAACTTTATTTTTTGTACCCTGTGTTTATCTACATAAGTTATAGCTTATTTGCATTGTTCTAAAGATTTATATAGACAATGATTATTTCAGAGAAGTAAAATGTGTATTGTAAGGAATAAGGGTGTGTGTGCTTTCAGACTTGCTACTTTGTCAAAAAATAGTGATTTCCAAGCCCAATAGGGGCCCAATAAGCACGGGCCATAGGATTCCAACAAAGCACCAAAGTAGCATATTGCTCACTTGGACACCACATAAGATGACTGTAATGATTTTTCAGGAAAGGATTTATGCTGTAGTAATCAATATATCAATATTAATCATTGTCTTTTAATTCAATGAAGCAGAACTGACAAATGAACTGAACGAATATGTTTCTCACTTTTGGTGATAAACACATTTTCAGTGTAGTGAAATTTAGTTTTGCTGTTGTCAGAGACACGTAAAGTATAGTCCTTATCTAATCCTGGTTCAGATGTATGGATAAACTCCTACAGCTCGATTTGGCAGCAGCTTTGTCAGGACACATAGAGAAGGTAATAACTTAGTTTGAAACTCCAAATGCTTGTGCAATATTTGGTTGAGGCTTTGATGTATATCAGGTGAACGTTTCTCTGATTTTAACTATTTTAAGACTCCTCAATGTTTCGATGGAGACAGTATTATGCTATCTCTTTAGTTTAAACAAAGTTTATTTCAAACAATGATAAACATGTGCGAATACCTTTACAATATGTACGAGGGACGGTCAGAAAATATCCGGACTTTTCATGCTCCTCTCTTTCCACGTGCAGCTATATACACACATTATATTTTGGTGGAAACTACATTCATTCGCCAATAACGTTGTCAGTTTATTTTCAATAATAGTTGTGCATACACAGTATTTTGCCCTCTGATATATGATAGGTGTTTCGTCTATCATGGACTCTTTGTTAGAGGAACAACGCTCTGTAATAAAGTTTCTGGTTACAGAAGGTGAAAAGCCCTGCCACATCTTTCAGAGGCTTAAAAAAGATTTTCTGATAAATGTGTATCACGTTCAACCTTCTACAACTGGGTTTCTCAGTTTCGTGAAGGCAGAACAAGTGTTTGTGACAGGCCTAGAATTGGGCGGCCTGCTGAGGCGTTGACCCCAACAATGGTAGCAAATGTTAAAGCTTTTGTCAACAAAAATCGTCGAGTAACTTTGGAGGAGGTAGCCAACAAGTTTAGCATCGGTAAGGCATCGGCACACAAGATTTTACACGAAAACCTAGGTATAAACAAGGTAAGTGCCAGGTGGGTGCCTAGACAGCTGTCCGCAGATCAAAAGGCAACCAGAGTAACCAATGCAAAAGAACATTTAAGTCGTTTTAATCGTGAAGGAGATAAGTTTTTGAACCGCACTACCACTGGAGATGAGATGTGGGTTCATTATTCCGAACCTGAGACAAGAGCTCAGTCAAAGCAGTATAAAAGGAGCTGATTCCCCACCTCCTAAAAGTTTAAGCTGTCTCCTTCGGCTGGCAAAGTCATGCTTGTTGCCTTTTGGGATTCACGAGGAATGATACTTACTCATTTCATGAAAAAAGGTCAAACTGTCACCGCTTAGTACTATTCGGAAGTAATTCTGAAAAATCTCAGAGAAAAGCTGAAGCAAATGCGTCCCAGGTTAGCACAGAAAAATGTCCTCCTTCTTCACGATAACGCCCCCTCCCATACCGCCGCAGCTACAGTGGAGGTTATCTATGGAGGGCGTTCGTTGCCAAAATTCCAGACATGTAAAGTGTTCCTTTTTAAAATGACTTTTGAAAATGCGAACTTGTATGCCTACCATTTTTATTGTATACCTCTTAATTCAATCTTTTAATTGAAGGTTACCGCCTTTATATAACAAGTTTACATATATATCGTAACAAGTGACCTAACATCTAAAACGACAACAAATTTACAAGTTCGTATCTTCCATTGCATGCAATACATATGCATGTTTGCACACTTATAGATCTGAAATATACAAATGAAACGTAAAACTCGAATACGGAATATAGAGTTTAAGAAAACGTGTTACCAGTTGTAGAACTACAAGAGTACGTTAACACAGTAACATGTTTAAAATGACAAAAGTAGATTCACAAAGTTAAACGATTTTAAGTCAAGCATAACGCCCCGCCCCTCTCGGAGTATTTACGACTTCTATTGCGGACAGGTATAAAACGGCGCCTCTCCCATATTTTTAAATAAAACTGAAGGACAACATACGGCATTTTTCATAACATATATATGTTACATTTGTTACAAAAGTTTTGTCACTAGCAACATCACTTGAAAATTGCTGATTTTACCATTTATGATGAAGATAACTTATGCATTACCTTATTATTTAACATCGTGTTCTTATCAGTTACAAATTATTTATCATTTTAGTGATTAGCCTGTCCGTGCTCTGCCTAGTGCCCTGTCCTGTGTTTTGTTTTGGGTCCGCCTGGGCTTCTTGCCACTTGTTCTTGTTGCTGGGTCATGTGGGGTTGCGTTCATTGAGCGCCGCCTTTCCTTGTTGATCTTGTTTATCATATATTCCTGAGAAACATCGGCAATTTGGAAATTTTTAGGGGAAACAATGACCAACTTCAAGGGAGTAATTTTATTGATAATGTAAAAAACCATCCTATATTCTTATTGGTATCATTGAAAAATGTATTGGCACAAATTTCATTTTCAACAAAAACTATGCAAGTATATTTTAAAGCGGCCACCGAGATTTCCTTTCCGAAATCAAGAAAATACTTATCCGTAGCACATATGTACAATCTTTAATAAGGTATTTTCAGTATGAATAAAAACTTTTTGCACTTGTTCATTATCCCTCATGTACAGACTCAATCAAACCGAGTCTGCAATTATTCTTATGTAATTTTGTAGTGATTAATGCTTCCGAGGGATCACTTTGTTTCCAGATTGTTATACTTCACAACAGCAGGTGTTAAGTGCCGTGTGGCAGTTGTAAAAAGTTGCCCCGTACTTCACTTTAGTGTTGTTATATTTTTCTGGTCTTTCGGGATCATTGATGCCAGCGCTATTAAGTGTTGAGAATTGAGTACCGTTCAAGCCGGTGCTAGGGGGCGTGAGGCATGTTGCACTTGTTCATTATCCTTCATGTGCAGACTCAATCAAACCGAATCTGCAATTGTTATGTAATTTTGTTGTGATTAATGCATCCGAAGGATCACTTTGTTTCCAGATTTTTAATATACTTGTTCAAAACTTATGGTCTTAACTTCATTCAATATTCATTTTCCTTTTTGAATAAAGTATCTAAAGGAAGCGACGTTATTTTTTTCCGAATATATGAATGTGGATTTAAGAGAAAAAAAAATAAACAACGATAAGTTAGAAACAAAATTTTTAATACTTCTACGTAATTAATTTTCATTTTTAAGGCATCACTAGAAAGTTCATTAAGGATTCTTAAGCACTATTAAGTGTTGAGAATTGAGTACCGCTCAATCCGGTGCTAGGGGGCGTGAGGGATTTTGCACTTATTCATTATCTCTCATGTACAGACTCAATCAAACCGAGTCTGCAATTCTTATGTCATTTTGTTGTGATTAATGCTTCCGAGGGATCACTTTGTTTCCAGAATTTTTTACTTGAGTCTAAAATTATCAACGCCGCCTTTCCTTGATGATCTTGTTTATCATATTCTACAATTATCAAAAT